ACGGTCTAATAATAGATGGCATTGGATGCATGATCATATAATTTGAGAATGAACGTGAGAGTAATCATCATTCAATCCTCGTAGAAAACAAATTACACAATCATCCTCCCATTCTTTATGTAATTTTGGAAGCAGACCACACAAACACGATACGGAACAAGTACAAACAAGAATGCAACGATACAATTCTAATACTTTCCATAAAATCTTTAATCGGGTATAATATTCATAAACACTAGAATCACCTTGTTTGCAGTTCAAGATTTGATCTTGAAGATCCGCCACCTGAATTTATCTGAATGAGAGAATCGCTCCTTAAGATCGATCCATATATAACGAGCAGTGTCCATCCACATTATTGATTGCTTGATTGAGACAGTCATTGAGCGTGTAAGCCAAGACATCACCATGTGATTGCAACGACGCCAGGCATCATGTAGAGAGAATCAATGGTTGGAAGATAGGGAAAACTATCATTGATAAACCTTTCCTTGTTCTTAGTTTCAAGAGCCACCATATCTCTTTGCAACCAGTGGCGGATCTTCTTGGGAGCTGAGGGGGGCCGCGGCCCTCCCAAAGTTTTGTAACTCCCATGTAATTTATGATTTTGGCCCCTCTAAACATAATGAACATTTAATATATTTATTTGTATATTTACAATTTTATCCTCTCAGCCCCTCCTCAGTTTTGTAACTCTCGTATAATTTATGATCTTGTTCCCCTCAAACTTAATGATCATTTAATATATTTAAGTATATATCTATAATTTTATCTTTTCACCCTTTCATCTTCTTTCTTCCTTTTATATTTATTTATTATTTATTAATAATATATTATTTGGCCCCCCAAAATCAATGGTCAAGATCCGCCACTGTTTGCCACTAATGGAAATTGTTTTTGGTGAGGAAGGGTGAAACAAGAACGAGTGCAGGGTTTTCCCCTAGGTGGAGGTATAAGGGGTTTGCCAGATTTGTAATATGATCTGGAGGTTTTGGCTTGATTGAGCCATGATCGATCAAACTTGCTGAAAAAAACGGAAACGAAGGAGAGTAATTGCCAAACTGATACCATATTAGTGTATAGAGGGTAACAGAAGATAAAACCAAAAATGAATATTTTATTGATCAACTCAAAAAATACAATGACAGATACTTAGTTTATATAAGGCTAAGTTCCGTAGAGAAAAAAGGGATAACAAACTCTGTAACGATAACAACGGAGAAGTAACTGTAATACAGAGCTAAAGAAAAATCTATTGATGTTGTTTCATTTTAAATTTTGTGTATTATTTTTATTTTTTTGTATACCAAATGCTTTTAAAATTGAATCAAAAGATAACACATGAATTTATTAATAATCATATTTTTATATAAAAAAAATTGTTATTATGATTATTATAAATTATAATAAAAATTATAAATATAAAATATATTAAATATGAAAGATAAATAATTAGTAAAATAAAATAAAAATATAATGAAATAATTATTATTTAAAATTCATATAATTAATATAAAATAAAAAATTAAAATATATTATGTTTTTTATAACAAATTATATTAAAATTTTTTATTTAAATTTTTTTTATTAAATTTGATTTAATCCAAAAATTCAATGGATTTTTTAATTTTATTTTAATTTAATTAAAATCTAATTATTTAGATACTGTTTTATTGTTTTCGTTATATCTGAATTTCATTGCAGTCAATTTTTTCTGACAAGTAATTTATTATTTTTTATACCGTCACAAATAAGTTTACTCGTCGTACTCCCGAACTTCATTCATTATTTCTATATATTGAAAGTGTTGCCAATTGATCATGAAAATTAGAATTGTGTCATTGCTTATTTATGAAAATGGTAAATATAATTAATTGGGTCAAAATAAGAATTCATGTAAAATAATTGAAAATATATCAGGTTAATTAAAAAAAAATACGTGACTTAAATTGAATTAGTGATGTGAACATAACCTATGATAAGGACTAGAGTAAGGGAAATAAATGAAGTTCTTCAACAAGTATTATTGGTTGATCAAATTGTATCTTGGATTAATCAATTAATGGGTTTTAGTTTGGTTTTATTACAAGTTGTAATAAGGGCTCAATTGAAAATTTAGTTATCAGTCTTTGGGAGACCAAAAGGGTGTATAGATGATTGACTTTTGGATGCCACAATTTTAGTTACAATTAATCATTAAGTAGTTTTCAATTCCTAGGTTAATAAATCATTATTAGCATTTTTATTTTCCTTTAATGAATATTTGTAATTCTGATGGCAAAGCTTAACTGAACCATTTTTATCAAGGAATAACAAGTTAAGTTTTATTTTTAGAAATATTAGATTTTATCTCTTTTATCAAAGGACTTTCACATCCTTTATGTGTTGCCTCCCTTGGGAAGAATGATTATTTCCTTCCACCTTCTTTCTAATTCCTAAATTTCTTACAAGGTTCTAACCCTAAAGATCCTAAATTAGTTCTTGTGTGATTGAGATTCATATTAGTTGGTATTCAGAGTCCCGGTTTAAAGGTTTGAACATCAAATTGATGGCAGAGGAGGATAAAAAAAAATGAGAGAAAAATTTCTTCAAGAAAAGTGAGAAAAAAAAGAAGAAGAGTGAAACACTTGAAGTGAATGAGAGTTATTTAGCCATAAAAAAATGAGTATAATGTTAGTTCTACATTCAATTTATCAGGCTTATCTCTTTTTTATGTAGATGACGAATCCGATTTGAGAACAAATCTTTTTCAAGAGGGAGATAATGATGTGAACATGACTTATGATAAGAGCTAGAGCAAGGGAAACAAAGGAAGTTCTTTAACAAGTATTGTTGGATGACCAAATTGTATTTTGGATTAATCAATTAATGGGCTTTAGTTTGATTTTATTACAAGTTGTAATAAGGGCCTAATTGGAAATTTAGTTATCAGTCTTTGGGAGATCAAAAGGGTGTATAGCTGATTGACTTTTGGATGCCACAATTTCAGTTACAATCAATCATTAAGTAGTTTTCAATTCCTAGGTTAATAAATCATTATTAGCATTTATTTTCCTTTAATGAATATTTGTAACTCTGATGACAAAGTTTCTTTATAAGCTGAACCATTTTTATCAAAGAATAACAAGTTGAGTTTTATTTTTAGAAATATTAGAGTTTATCTCTTTTATGTTAATGAGAGTGATTCTTCTAAGTTTTTGAGTAATTCAAGAATATTTGACTGTATCAAAGGACGTTCACATCCTTTGTTAGTTGTCTTCCTTGAAAATAGTGATTATTTCCTTCCACTTTCTTTCTAATTTATAAATTTTTTACAAGGTTCTAACCCTAAAGATCCTAAATCACCCATTGTGATTCATATCAATTAGATTTTTTTTATAGTTTATATTATTATTTTGTATAATAATAATTATTTTTTAAATAAAAATAATAATATTATTTTATTAAAAATATATTATTATAACTTTTTTATAAATCTTTTCAATAACTTAATCAAATATTAATATATAATTATTATTTTATATTAATAAATTATTAAAATAAAAATTATAATAATAAAAAATAAGTTTTTATTTCTTATTTTAAAATTTGATATATCAATTTTTTTATAATTTATATATGTTAAAACATAAGTTAATTTTATTAATATAATTTAAATTTTAAAAATATAATTTTTATTTTTATTTAAACATTTTTAATTAATTATTTTCTTATAAATATATTAATTTAAAAAAAATCAGGTTAAAATTAACGTTAAAATATAAATCAAATTAAATTATCAATTTATCTTACTTTAGCTTATAGATTGACAAGTAGTGATTAAATATTTATAAAAGAAATATCAAGACATAATAATATATTATCGTAACAATTATAGATATAAAAGTTATGATTAATCATTGTAAAAGAAATATCAAGATGTATTTTTAAATGGTTATGCAAATACTTATATAAAATTGTATAGTTAAAATATTTCATTAACCCCTGTATTATTGGTTACGGTGTATCTAAGACAACTTATTCTTTTCTACTAGTCATGAGATTATATGCGCCCAACAAATAATTAAGAAGGAAAAAAAAATTGTCAACCAATTTTTATAAAACATCTAATAGAGAATCTAAACATTATTTTTTTTAATCATGGAAAGAGAATACAATAAAATAAATAAATAATAATATAAAAATTTAAAAATATAGGTAGTTGAATAAATATTTTTTTCTTTTCACCGTGTCAAAAACACTCAACTAATAATTTGATGTCTTCTTTTTCTTTCTGATACGAAAATAAGGTCATACATTTGTTTACATATATGTTATAGCTGGCATGCAAACGTGCGAAGCTTGTTTCTCTTGGTTGTTAAGATGTAAGAAATGAAGGAGGGCATAACAGGACAGTTTCCAAAATTGTGGAGGTCCTTGATCCATCCATGACCGGGTCTCTGGATTCCTGTCATGATCAAACAAGAAACTGAAACAAAACATAAAAAGTTGTAGGAGTAACAAAAAAAAAAAAAAAAACACTGAAAATCAAGTGTTGCATTTTGCTTTTCAGAAATTTGCACATTTTTGCATCATTATTCTCTTGTCCTCACTTGATGATGCAATTTCATTAACCTTTCCAACTGTTACAAACAGAAAAGGAAGAAGTTTTGTCTCCTAGGAACCTCCATGGATGGTTTGTATCTATGTTTGAAACCCCATAATTGTTGCACATTCACCCTCCTCACATTTTAAGATTGCTGTTTGTTTTGTTTCAATGTTCGATTTTACATGGTTTGGTAGGAAATGTTTAAAGTCATGATTCTTTAGAATCAATTTTTATTTGTACAATTCTTCACATTCCTTGAATTTTCATTTCTGAACTTGTAATAGACGAAGAGATTCAACTAGCCAACCAATCTTGTCTGTATTCTCTTAGAACTATACCTACCTTTTATCATCGTCAACATCTTAATGAAGCATCCTTGAACACGAAGATAAGCAAACCAAGTCATTTGAACATGGGAAACAATCGGCAAAAAAAATGTGGGTGTGGTGGCTTAATAACCGCAGTATTCTGGCGTTCTACTTCCAAAAGAAACAAAGGCAACAATTTTGAAAAGGCATCAAACACCTCCGACACAAAGAAACAGCTGGGTAATGGTGAAGATTTGACTTTGTTTTCAACAGCTTCATCTGATAGACGCACAAATTCTTCACCTAATTCTAACACCAAACCAATCCCCATTGTTAACCAAGCGCACCAAAGGAACTATCCCAAAGGGTTACAAACCGAGGGTTATGTCAACAATGAAAGAAGGGTCCCTAAAGAAGCCGAGGGTTATGTCAACAATGGAAGAAGGGTCCCTAAAGATGCAGTTGGCATTTCTGGTGAACTTGAAAGCATGTTTTCCGATCGCCAAAAGGCCAGCAAAAACCTTGTTCGTGCTTCTTCTAGCAACGTGATGATGTTCGGTAATTTAGGCAACCTCAAGCAAGGAGGGAATACCAACACCTATTCTCAGAACGTTGGGGATTATGGTGCCAAGCAAAGGGATGAAAGCGCTGTTGCTAAAGGAAGATACACAAACCAGACGGTGGAGAATGCAAATGAAGGAAGCATTGAAAAACCGGATTCTCTATGCAGGGCCGTGTCTACTAGAATGGACCCCGAACAATTGAAGATAATGGGGAATGAGGATTACAGGAATGGAAGATTTGAAGAAGCATTGGCTCTTTATGATGCTGCAATTGCAATTGAGCCCAATAAAGCATCCTATAGGAGCAACAAGAGTGCAGCATTAACGGCTCTTGGGAGGATTCTGGAGGCAGTGTTTGAGTGCAGAGAAGCCATTCAATTAGATCCTCATTATCAAAGAGCTCATCAACGACTGGGGAACCTGAACAAGAGGTATTCTTACCCAAGAAATAAACTGTGATTGCAAAATATAATACTTCTGACATGGCTCTTAACTCCTCCATTTTTTTCTTTCTTTCTTATTGGTGTTGTTGTCGGTAACTGTTAGTTTATGTGTGTGGTTAAAGGTTAGGAGAAACAGACAAGGCTCTTTATCATTATAAACTAGCAGGACCAGAGGCTGATCCGGACGAGATGGCTAAAGTAAAAAACATCCAGTTCCATTTAAACAAATGTACTGAGGCTCGTAGGAGAGGAGATTGGATCAACCTGATTAAGGAGACCAAGTACGCTATTGCATCTGGTGCAGATTCTGCTCCACAGGTTTGCTAATGACCTCTATTACTCTAGAAATTATCACTTGTTCTAGGTTACTATGTAGTCTAGGATAATCTCCACATGACATGTAAGTGAATTTCGTTAATTCTTTTCTAATAAATTATTAATTTTTAATTACATGTCACAAAAAAATTAAGTGTGATAATGAGCATGTAATGTAATAGTTCTGGATCAAGTAATGTTTTTTAATTTATTACACCTTATACTTTGTATTAACTCTTTCTCCCTCAGTCACACACATGTGCATGCGCATGCATGCATACGCATATGCATGCCAATCATGCTAATATGACTTTGATTATGGCTTTACCTGAAGATATTTGCGTTGCAAGCCGAGGCCTATTTGAAGCTCCGTAGACACCAACATGCAGAGGAAGCAATGTCGAAGGGACCTAATTTTGATGTTGATCAGTGCACCAAGTTCTTTGGGCAGATTTGTAATGCAAACTTGTTGGTGACTCGGGCTCAGATTCATTTGGCAGCTGGCAGGTTAGTGTATCTTTTCTAAATGAACAACAGAATATGCTTCCTAATCTTCATATATTCACAAATTGTTGTACCAGATTTGAAGATGCCTTAGCTGCAATTCAGCGAGCATGCAAGCTAGATTCAAATAATAAGGAGGCGATGAAGGTGATGATGAAGGTTAGATCTGTGGCCACAGCTCGATCAAATGGAAACGAGCTTTTCAGGGCATCAAAATTCGCAGAAGCTTGTGTTGCCTATGGAGAAGGGTTAGAGAGTGATCCATATAACTCAGTTTTGCTATGCAACCGAGCTGCATGTAGATCAAAATTAGGCCAACTTGAGATGGCTGTGGAAGATTGCAATGCTGCTCTTAACTTGCGACCATCTTACAGCAAGGCTAGGCTAAGAAGAGCAGATTGTAATGCCAAGGTAAACAGCCACTCAAGTTTCCTTTTGTTTATTAACATAATGCAGTGTTTTTTAACATTTTTATGTGCTTTGTGTCACGTTTACGATGCAATTGTAGTTGAAAAGATGGGAAGCTTCAATTGAAGACTATGAAATATTGCTAAAAGAGAGACCAGAGGATGAGGAATTAAGGAGATTTTTGGCGGAGGCCAAAGAACATCAACAGCTAAGTGAATGAAGGTCATCAAGTGTGGTGGACTTAAGAGACATGGTTTAGAGTTGGTGGAGAAATATGAAAAATGAGGCGTCACAAATGTGAGGACATGAAAATGGCCCTACTATACAAGTATTATTGTCTAGGATGATAGACAACCACTCTTATGGTCAATGATCAATAATCAATTCCTTTGTAAAAGAAAATATAAAGTAAGTTGTGGAGGAACACTAGTAGGGACCCATTGCCAAGGGAAAGGTGCACACACTAAAATATCATTTAACTATTTCTAACGTTGAATCAATCAAGTGAAGGTACATTTTTTTCTTATTTTATATTGAGATTGAAGTCTGAATTGAATGGTCGGGATTGTTTGATATCATCTCATATTATGCCATGGACAGATTGATTTTAAAGAAATTACTTTTTGAAATGAAGATATAAACACAAATTCGTTTCATCTATAAGAATAAAGAATAATTGTTTTGATCTCCCTCTTTCCTTTTAGGAAGAAACTTTCTGGACTTTGGGTTCTAAAAAAACTCAAACTTACTTTGGTTTTTTAATTCAGATGCTGGGAGATGTTGAAATAAAGATATTTACCCAAACTCACGCTAACGCATTATCTAATATATCTGCATCTAAAAATGATTAGAAAACGTTTTTATTCGTAATTTTTAAATATTAAATCCAGCTTCTGCTGATACACTGGTTCGTATAAATGTCTTCTTTCGGTGTCACAAAAACTCGTTTCTTTATGTTCTTCCATGTAACACGAACATCCTGGGATCGAGACGCGAGTTTACATGAAAATTTCACTTAATTAAATGAATAAATTATACGGCAATTAAATATACACTTGTAACATGTTATAGTCAGAAAAAAAAAAAAAAAACTAAATAAACAAACGTGTAATAAGAAGAAAAAACGATTTTTGTACAAAGTTTAGAAAAAGTAAGGCAAATTGTGGCTAAAAGAAATTGACGTAATCGCGTGGGAAAAATCACACTGATATGAAGTTTTAAAAACTGTTGCTTTTATAAGTGTTTTTGTGAAAACTTTGTTCACAAATTCCTACGCAACTACATGTAATCTTAATGACAAAATTACTCTATCATGAGCAACCGATATAACATTAATAAACAAAAGAACTAGTTGATTGTTATATTACAATAGTGTTAAATAAAAACAATAAACACTAATTTATGTTCATAAACATTAATGAGACTTCAAACACCCATTCAAACTAGCATTGAGCATAATAATATGGCGATTCATACAGATAGTGTCCATTATTATTGAAAACTACAAAGACAAAACGGGTTGTGGATCCTCAAACCCGTTTACCAATTCAAGTTTTAGACGATCTGGGACAACCCAATTTTAACAAATACTTATTATATTTATGATCTACCATAACAAAAAGGTTGCCATAAAAAGTTCCCCAGCAACAACAACTGAATCGCACTCGCATAAAGTACCACCGTAACCTTCCTCACGCTTGTGCATTCAAAATAGGGAACTCGGATCTGAGTGAGGATCCGGATCCAGCGCGTTCGGAAACGGGCCGGGCCTGATCCAAGGAATAGCGGCAGTGGTTTCTAACGGCCCAAAGCTGGAAGGGGGCGGTGTCGAGAGCGAGCCACTGCTCCACTTCGAACTCTTCCTGAGAGCAGGGTCTGTGGGGCCCTGTGGAGGAGACTTGGACGTAGTTAAGGTACCAGCCGTGGTGCGACCCGGATCCGTCAGAAGTAACATTGACGGCGCAAACGGGTCCTTCAAGACAGGGTCCTCTTCCGCTGAAGATGTCGAGGTTGCCGCGCTCGAAGTAGTCGTAACCCTTTCCCATCAAACCACCCCACGTTTGGAGGTTGTTAATGTAGATGTAGTACCCGTACTTGTCGTACAACTTGATGCCGATCTTGGAGTCCGTTCCGCCCTTAACCACCGAACCGGTTCTAACGTACACCGTGTACACGCAATCGCTTTCCTCCTGCATTTAACGATGTGAGGCACAGATTAACGAGATCGTGAAACTTATGAATAATTGCAATATTTTATCTTACCGATCTAACGGTTCCGGCGACGCAGAGAGAGAGGATAAGGAAGATGGAGAGAGAGAATGTTGAAGGTGCCATTTTTGCGTGCGTCGAAGAGATGATGAAGGAGGTGATGCCATGGGTAGTGATAAATAGAGCGAGCCAACGAGGGGCTCATGTTTCCTCATTCTCCATGAGGAAATAAATAAAATATTCTCGGATTGCATTATTACCTTTTCCACCTATTATTTATTTCCTTTTTCAATTTCATCCTTTGATTAATAAAAATGTTTCATAAGCCCCTAAATTAAATACAACAATGTGATATCATAAGAAATAAGAAGAAATTAGGACAAACACGAGTAATAATTACTTATTATCTATTTTGTCTCTAAAAATCTTTGATTACTTATCTTTTTAATTAAATGATGTTTATATACGACGATAACATACATTGAAAGCTATGACTTGGATCTGAAAACCATTTCAAAGATTTTGACTTTAATAGACGATCAGAATGTCGTACGGACGGTAATAATAATAATAATAATATTATTATAAATTATAATTATAATAAAAAAAGTGAGAATAAAAAAAATCAATTTATATGATAACTTCTAATAAGCTCTTGAGGTAAAAACACATGACATTAAAATTGATAAAATAAATAATAGGATAAAAAATTAATTACACTAAGATATGGTAATTATATAATCCTATATCTTAATCATCAAATGAACTCAATTATTTTATTATTTATTCAAAAACATTTAAAATAAATAAATTTATTAATAATTAAACATTTTTATTGCTATTGTTGAGACAACTACATTTTTTTTATCTTTTACTAAATATTGACATTATGAATTAAAAACGAATTAAGAATAATGAAATCCAGAGAGAACAAAACTTATTCTTAAAAAAATGTTTATATGGAATATATCTCATAAAAGAAAGTAATTTTCTACAACAAAAGAGATCCATTAAATTTAAATCTGTCATGTTAAGTAACAGTGTATTTTATAATTTTTTAATTTAACTAATTTTAATATGTAACATCTGTAATATATTATTTTTAATTCTCAAACATTAGTATTTATTTATGTAATTAAATTCACATTAGAATCTTCCCGGTATCTATTACAATAATAAACACATGGCGCACGTTTTTAATATCTATATATATATATATATATATATATATATATATATATATATATATATATATATATATATATATATATATATATTCTTTTTCTTTCTTTTTAGAAGTTAGACTAATAAAAGACACACACATGTCAGTGGATCTCACGTTTCGTAATCTCGAACGAGTCCTTACATAATGAATGCTGTCGGAAATATCTATATAGGCTTAAATAATAGGAGTATAAATTAGAAAATTTCAAAATTATAAAATATATGTATTTATTAAAGAATAATAAATAATATAAAATTTACTGATAAATTGATGTAGGTTAGTTCGTATTTTGATACACAACTAAAAAGTGTATTATTATAAAACATTTGTTAAAAATTAATAAAACAATTTGTAATTGTCTCAATTTGATTTATTAGATTAAAAGTGTCAGATAAAATCAAGTGATAAATTAACACGAGAAATATTAAATGTATTGAAAGCACATTTAAATACATAGAGTGTCTTTCTTTTATTGTAAAATGAGGATAGTTCATTTAACCTTAAAATTAAATGTAATACTTTAATAAATACTAATTGAAGAATTTATTAAAACATAATGTAAAAGCTCTGAAATATTTCCTAAATAAAAAATAAATAAATCTTTTAAAGATTTTAATTATTACATCATAAAATTAAAAAGAAAAAAATCTAAAAAAAATATTCCACTTTAAAAATATCTTGATTATTTTTTTATTTTTAAGTTTATCATTGACATGACTTTTCACTAATATTATAATAATTATCATTTTTTTAATTAATAATAGTTATAAAATCAGGCCCATTAACTTTTCTTATTCAACTAATCCAATGGATTGTTTCGACAGGTTTTATTTAAATTAGAAATGTATTTGGTTCCGTGTGACTCGGTTTGTGGTAGAGAATTTCTAAAAAAGAAAATAACGGCATTTTACATATATATATATATATATATATATATATATATATATATATATATATATATATATATATATATATAAATGATTTTCAAACTTCATATTACAAAATAATTTTCCATTTTATGACGGTTTGAAACCGCTAAGAAACAATGGGACTTGAAATCCTAATGAAGTAATTAGCTTAAAATCTTAATGAAATCGTCATAAACATATTTAATGGGATTAAAGCCACTAAAAATGTAATAAATAACCCGTTGAAATGTATTACTATTAATTTATTAATATCAAGGATGTGAAAAGATTCAAACGCCTTAAATATTTCAATTAAACAATATTAAATGTAAGAATCACTAACAATGGGATTAAATCCAACAACAAATCATCGAACAAATAATCTGATTAATAGTTGTAAACATTTTAGGTTTCTTAAGTTTTGATGCAGTTTTGTTTAGAATTGGACCTTATGAATGACAATAAGTGTCTTGATAAAAAATATAGTATAAGGTGAACATAAAAGTAAAATGTTTAAAAAAAAAAAAAAAAACGTGATAAAAATTCGTAATCATAGGGTTAGTTAATGTATAACTGTTTTGGTTGTAGTTATTACTTTTAACAAGTATGGTCTGACTTGGACTTGTTTATGCTAATTACAGTCAAAGCTGAAAAACGGGCATGATTATTAACACAAACTAAAAATAGAAAAAATCAGAAAATGAATTATGTCGAAACACTTGTTAACACAAAGTTGAAAATCTTGAATTAGATTTGTGTGAACACCCAAGAAAGTTAACAATGCCCTAATGCGTTGTGCGCTCGTGTTTTCCACGTTGTCACAACCCTTCTAATAAGCCATTCAACACCTGCCATAAACCTCTCAAACCAATTCATCTTTGGTTGCATGCAGGAGATCGTTCAGCTCCTCCAAGTCGCGTAACGCACACTGCGCGCGCACGGAGGATCCTTGCGTGCGCTGCTGCTTTCATGGCTATGGAGGGGCAGGTCAACGACCCAAAACCCACCGTCGTCGCAGCGCTGCAGCGGCCTCCGGGGCGCCAAATGTACCAAACGTATATCGTGCAGTTCCCGAAGAACCAAGTGTACCGCGTGCCGCCGCGTGAGAACGCGTTGTTCATGGAACAATTCCGGAACCCAGCCACCGCGAAGAAAACGCGCGGAGGCTGCTGCTGCTGCTGCTGCTGTGAACGTCGCCTCCTTCTCACGGTCGCTCTCATCGTCGTTGCTGTCATCGCCGTCGTTGGCATGACGCTGGCCACTCTGTACTTGATCTTCAACCCCACGGGACCCACATTTAACATCTCCAATTTGGTTGTGAAGAGCGGCGGCGGCGGCAACAAAACCTCGCGGACGCTGTACAAGGTTTCGTTGAGAGCGAAGAACCCAAACGAGAAGCTGGGGTTCGAGTACGAGGAAGGTTACGTGTCGCTGTTGTTCGAGGGGACTAAGGTAGCGGCGGGGAGGTTTCCGATGTTGCATCAGAGTCGAGAGGAGTCAAACATGGTGACAGTTGAGATGAGTGGACCCAGTGGAGTGTTCCACCGGCGAAGGAACGGTGGGGACTCACCTGTGGTTTTAACCTTGGAGATGAACCTAGCGGTGAGAATCAGAACCGCGGGAATGGAAACGTGGCTTATGAGATCCTATGTTGTGTGCGAGTTTGAGGTTAGCAGTCTGAGGAAAGATACGCAAGTCTTGTCTGAAGAATGCAAATCCCAATTCAGACAATATTAAATAATCGAATAATACCCACTCGTTAACCATTAGAACGTATTTCATTTTTCCATTCTAGCGGTGCTTGCTTGCATGATGATTACGTGATTAGTTGGTCTTTCCATTGTTGCTTGATTTATTCCTTCTTCCCCCGAGGTCTCCTTTTTGTTGTACTTTTTTTGTTTAATTATTGCTTAGTTAAACATAGAAATGGAAACTAAAGTATGTTCTAATAATAAAACAATGCATTCAAGTGATGTTGAATATTGAAGATGCCAAGATTTCATTTTCGCTTATTTAAGAATGTTACCCTGGAATTTGTGTCCACAAGTAAAGTAGAAAAATAAAAACATACCCAATTATAGCGTGTCTTTGTACATGTGTGTATAGACACTAGAAAAATAAAATGTTAGGTACGGAATTAACTATAAAGGTAGTAAATATATTCCATCAAAAACACCTAACACATTCACATCCCTCTGTTCTACCTCTTTATCGTTGAAAGTGACTCTCAAGTTACCATTAATTTTATTAAATCTAAGAACGCTTTAGACTTGTCTTGTTAATTCTTTGTAATCCTCCAACTTGTTCTTTTTTAAGTACATAATCTAGATAACCTAAAGAAATATACAATATAGATACGGGCACATGGACCAGCGTGATCTTTGGCAGAAGCGTCAAAAGCGAGCGAATATATTAACATGTCATGTAAGAATGATAATTTCGAAAAAGATGATATAATTATGTATTGAATTAATATAAAACCATTTAACTTATGTTAATTCTAATATATTTTTTTTCTAATATAGGATGAATTCGAAAATACCTTGATACAAGAGTAAGAAGCATAATTGAAGTAAAATTGAAAGAAAGAAGAGTGCTTAAACGAATAAATAATGCGAGGCCCGACCCAAATTCTCTTATAAAAAGATAAGTTGTGTTTTGAGAAAAGCAAGCCGTCTTGGAGGAGAGGATGCACGATTACTGTTAGGGTTTTGTCCAATCTTCATCAATTTTTCGCTTCTTCATCAATTAGAGCATTGTAATGGCCAACATGAGTGGCTAACTTCATTCTCTTGGGATTCGATGCACTTCCTTTGAACTCTTTTGTATCATGGTGATATTTTGAGATCTTAATCTATACTTTGATATTGTTATTCTTATCCTTTATGCTTTAGAATGATTTATTCTTGATTATTTGAGGTATGATTGGAAAATATATCTTGAACCCTAGACCACGGTAAGAATATTTGTTACGTTAATTGCTAGGAATGAAATGAACGTATCAATTGCTTAACACCCTAACCCTAATGCTGGAAAATCTGTTAATTGTGTGAGGAATCAACATTTATTAGGTTTTCTTATGAATTTCATGCGTGAGGAATCAACATGAATGATCTGAGTAGGTGACATTAACATTGTTAGGTTAATTGACATTCTTAATTGACATAGTTATTACAAAAGAGGGATAAGGAAGGAAGTCATCCTAAGTACCTTTAATTGATATTTTCTCAACAATTTACAGTTCTTCGACATTTAATTTTAATTCAACTCTTATTTGCAAAACTCAATCTGTTTAATATACTTAGTAAGCATAATTGAGAATTTTCATTGAAACTGTCCTCGTGGGATCGACTTTTATTTAATCGAAATATTATACTGCGATTGATAATTTTGGTACCCTTGCCAATAATTAAATAGAGAAGTTTATGTAGGTTAACTTACATAAATCCAAAGTGATAACCCTTCATTCAAATTTATGGTCATTAATATATTAGAAGAAAGAAACAGCTAAACTAACCAAAGTATAAACCAAACTCACCCTAATAAAAATATTAGGCAAACTTCATTTCCAGAAGGCAACAGTTCCAATCCTTGGCATTTTTCCCCAGATGCCACCACACTGGTGGTTTGGTAGCCACAACAGTTTTTTATTTCCCACGATACTTACATAATTAACGTCTGTATTAGAAGTTGGATTCTCTTTATTGTTTTCTTTCTTTCTTAATTGAAATTGAATTACTATATCTCAATTTTTAAATGTCATTTTCTAATACTGTTTTTGCTTTTTAATGTTTTTTTTTTATTATTTTTTTTATGTTTTTAATGTCAAATCAATTTTAAATGTATATGTTTAAAATTAATATTTTCAAGAATTAATTTTCAATTTAAGTCAAATTTAACTTTTTTGTTAATTAATATTATTTTTTATCGGTTAATTTTAAAAAATTGCATCTAATATTTAATTAATAATTTATTTTAATTAATTATAAAATATAAATATTATTCTAACAATTATTTAGGTTATTAATATTTATTACAAATTTTATATAATTAACTTGATAAATTAACTAATTTTAAGAAAAAGTATTTAAATGAATATTTTAATTTTATATCTCTAATAAAATAATTTTGATAACTTTTATTATTTAAAATATACAAATTAAAAGCTAATTTGAAAGTTAAATATTTCAAAAATACAAAAAAAAATTGAGAAGTCTAATTAGGAGAACTAACTTCTCGTAGGAAAAATAAAGAGAAGTTGGGGTCAACTTCTCGCCACACATTAATTGTGTTGAAATAAAAAACTCTGTGTGTGTGGTCTATTGGGACAGAACAAGTCACCAGCGTGCATCTGGAAAAAATGGCTCCAATCTCCGCAGAATCGATGTGTCCCTCCAGAGACGCAGCAACGAGTTGGTGTGGTGTTGGGTTGTGAAAAGTGAAGACGTGGTGTGAAAAGAGAAGAGTGATTGGCTGGAAAGTGAAGATGAAATCAGAGACAGTGACGCTGGTGCTGGTGAATCTGGCGAGTATTATGCAGAGAGCAGATGAATCGTTGCTTCCGGGAGTGTACAAAGAGGTTGGTGAGGATCTCAACGCTGACCCCACTGCGTTGGGTTCCCTCACACTCTTTAGATCACTCGTTCAATCTCTGTGTTACCCTCTCGCAGCGTATCTCGCCACGCGTCACAATCGTGCCCATGTCATAGCTCTCGGTGCTTTTCTTTGGGCTGCGGCTACCTTCCTCGTTGCCATCTCCTCCACCTTCCTTCAGGTCCTCCCTTTCACCTTCTTCTGCTCATCGATTCTTTTGCTATACAACATGGACTTAGAGTTAGACAAATCTTCAAGCTGTTTGTAATAAAATAGGATTTTTCTATCAGTATATATATATATATATATATATATATATTCTACTTTGGTCGAATTTTGATTTTCATATATCCTTTCACCTTATGTGTTAGATATTTCAAAAGTAAAATGAGATATTTTCAAGTGATTCAATAATGGGCATCATATATTATACTCTCAACAATAATTATTTTTATACTTCAATTCAACACTAAAATACTAAAATATAGGATAATATATTTCATTTGTTACAAATTAGAAAATGTCAATAGACCCTCTTAAAATGATGTTTACTGTTAAAACCAGATTTTTGAAATTGGTTGGATTTTGTTCTGAGTATGAATTTGAATTCTCTTATTGCATAAAATGGAAAAGTTGAGTAAACCATCATCTAATACTTTAAGATTTTAAATTAAAAGTCTGTAAAAAATTTCATGGTCTAATTGCATAATCTCCTTACATCTACAAGCATAATATTATTATTATTATTATTATTATCTTTTTAAGGTAACAAACAATGAATGCTCACACGAACATTTTGAATAACCAATTTTTATGATACGAGACTATGCCTAAAGGGGTTTATTTTAGTCCATAAAGAGTTTTTTTTTTTAATAAAAATTTAAACGGGTTGATCAATGAATACACGTTCCTCCAAGAAACTATCTTACTAAAAAAACAGGCCAAGAGCTTTACACTACCAATAAAACTAACTACCAACCTAAGTGTGTCATGTCTTATATCAGGTAAAAAGATTTATTTATAATTAATTACATATTATTGTTTGTAATTCTTGACCAAGTGTGTCTTGTACTTATCCCTTTTACTATTTTCTTTTAATTGAAAACCCACTTCACTTATATGCTATTGTGTCTATCTAGAATAGAAGATCACACGCCTAAGCACAATTTATTTTAATGGAATCAATTTTCCTATATTCATCACTTTTCTCCATTTTTCTTCTTTTAACAACACTTTCAAAAGTTGTAGGATTTCATTATGAAAACGAAGTCTTTTTTTTTTTTTTTATGTAAAGGTCTCTTAAATAAAGTTTTCTTCTTGTATGTTGAGCTCTCTTCGAAAGATAATTTTCACTTTTTTTTTCATCAAGCTTTGAAGGTTTTAAATATAGAGACAGCTTTCGATTTTCCTGCATAAAGTAAACCTAAGTTTTCTTAAAAAAACTCATAATTTGAAGTGAAATGGTTGGATCGCAGATATCTAAATGCATTTGTTCTAAAATGTTATTTTATCTTGTTGATTTGTCATTAGATAATATAGATAAATGTTGTTTACTAACAACATATTTTTCACAAACTCTAAAAAGAACAATAATTTGTGAAAAGTTTATCACCGTACCTTTTTATTTAAGGGTTTTCAATCCATTAAAGCTTAAATGATCATAACAATATATAATACTATAACCGAACATAATTAATAACTTTAGGTCATCAACCAAATTGAATTTTCAATTTGGAGGGAACAACCTATTTGAACCAATTTTTACCACATAATCACACCTTAAATCAGTTAAACAAAATTTCACAAATATCTTTACTAATAAAAATTTCATAAATTTTCTTTTAACAATTGTCGGACACTTAATTACATAGTAAATTAACTAAAGAATTTAAGGTAAAAATTATCTATTACAATAATTAAACATAAAATAATTAAATTAAATTAAAACTTTTTTTAAGAAATACACAATAATTAAAAGTATAATTAAGTTATTTTATAAAATTTCAAATAGTCAGTTCTAGCATTAAAACAGATAAAAAAAGTTATTCATAATTCAAATTGATTCGTTTCATTAGTGTCTAAATATACTTAAATGTGTAAGAATTTAGAATAAAAGCCAAATTTATAGTAAGTGTTTGACCAGCTTATTTGTTTCATTGTGAGACTCTTGATATTTTAAGTTGCTCAAATATTCATCAAAAGTTGGGCAAACTGGTTTAAAAGAATGAAGTTCTGTTGCACCTAACCGATGTTTTACTTAAAAGGAAATTAAACTCCATCTAGAAAAGGTTTCTCCTCTTTCTCATTCCATTTGTGCCATAAAACTGTGTGATTAACTTTCAAAAGTAACCAAATTTGATACAATTATTCAACTTGTTCAAAATATAAAAGGTAAGTATATAACAAACATCAAGATCAGCTGCTTTAAAAAAGTATAATTTGGTAAGGATCACGATCTCTTGGCCCAAGTTTTCCCTGAATCATGTGCATGGTTCCTTACCCCTTGGTGATGCATAATATGGTTATCAGGTGGCAATTTCAAGAGGTTTAAATGGGATAGGACTTGCCATTGTTATTCCAGCAATTCAGTCCCTGGTTGCTGATTCAACCGTGGATAACAACCGTGGTATGGCGTTTGGGTGGTTGCAACTAACAGGATTCTTAGGAAGCATCATTGGTGGTCTCTTATCTGTACTTATAGCCTCAACCACAGTGGCAGGTATAGCTGGGTGGAGAATAGCTTTTCATCTGGTTGCATTGATCAGTGTTATAGTGGGAATATTGGTACGCCTCTTTGCTAATGATCCACACTATTCAAAGAGCCATGACACAGCAAAAAACCAAGCTCCAAACAAGTCCTTTTATTGTGAAATGAAAGACCTAATGAAGGAAGCAAAGTCAGTCATGGGAATTCCAACTTTTCAGATAATTGTGGCTCAGGGAGTGTTTGGATCATTCCCCTGGTCAGGGTTGTCATTTTCCACGCTTTGGTTAGAACTAATAGGCTTCTCCCACGTCACAACGGCGACCCTTTGGACCTTATTTACAGTTGCTGCTTCATTTGGATCTCTATTTGGAGGGTGGATGGGAGATTTTTTGTCCCAAAAGTTTCCCAACTCTGGTAGAATAGTATTATCACAAATAAGCGCTGGTTCAGCAATTCCTTTAGCAGCAATTTTGTTGTTGGGATTGCCTGATGATTCATCCACTGCGTTCATGCATGGTCTTGTTTTAGTCATCATGGGATTCACCACAGCCTGGAATGCTCCAGCAACTAACAAGTACGTTTCATAACTCCAATAATAGCTTATGTTTTTATATTCAGAATTACTAAATGTTAAGCTGTGAGAATTCTTATACTAGTAGATGGCCTCAATCCCTTAACAAAACATGGAAGTATAGATTAGTGAAAGTGTTTTCTAGCATCCATAGCTAATGCATTGTTCAATATATGACAGAGGTAATACCAATTAGTGAAGTTGTCTATTAAATGTTTAGAAATAATAGATTTTTACGTATTATTAGTCTACTAACAATGATAACTTCTGCATATATGGAAGAAAAACATTTTGCAGCTAAAAACTATTGAACGTTGATTAGATGCACCTTGTTTAGTTTTATTTCAAATGTAACAGTGTGGACAGTCCAATATTTGCAGAAATAGTACCTGAGAAGTCCCGAACAGCTATATATGCTTTGGATTGTTCATTTGAGTCTATCTTGGCATCCTTTGCTCCTCCTATAGTTGGAGTATTGGCTCAACGTGTTTATGGTTACAGACCAATCCCAAGTGGATCCTCAGATTCTGTGGGGATTGAAACAGATAGGGAAAATGCTGCATCTCTCGCCAAAGCACTTTATACTGCAATTTTAATTCCAATGACAATCTGTGTCTCCGTGTATTCATTGCTCTACTGCACGTACCCAATGGACAGGGAACGAGCAAGAATGTTATCATTAGTGGACTCAGAAATGCAGCATCTAGAAGTGGAAGATGGCACCAAAGAACAATATTGTCAGGTTCATGATTTAGAACCAAATGGAGTGGATGGTAAGGAAATTAGCAAGTTTGAAATTGATTATCCAAGGGAGGAGAGTATTGACTTGGATGATGATGATAAGAAAGTTTTGTTGTCCTAGTAGTAGTTCGTTCACCTTTGCAAGGAAACAATGGTTCATTTGATCAAATGTTATAGATAACCTTTTAGTTTCAAAATAAATATGTATTTGACAATTCCAAAAATTGTTGATATGATCTTCATTCCTTATTTTTTAATGAATGGTTCATCTTCCATCATTCTTGATGTCTCAAACATGGTGATTTCACTTTATGTTACGGTGTTAGATCTATATCCTTTATTGTTGTACATTTATCTTGTCTGAGAATTTTACATTAATCAAGTTCAACAAAGCAATCATGTTGGTTATCTTTTACTGGTATACATTTCTCTCTTTTCTTTGGTATCCGTTTAAAAAGGCTTAATAGGCTTTTTTTTTTTTTTACCTTTCAAATTTTCGCAAATTATGTCTCTGTTTTTTTTTTTTCATTGCACATCTTATAAATAGATTGAATTTTCAAGAAGAAACTTTAGGATGATATAACAAACTACTATTCAAAATCATATTTTAATATTGATTAAAATATACTCCTTCTCAATTCAGGAAAAGGTTTCCGGTTGGCGTAAAGAAAACCACAATCACACAGTCCAGTCGAACAAAGTAAGGAGAATCCATTTCTTTTTTTGTTTTATAATAATAATAATAATAATAATTAAAATATTAAAACCAGAAAATGCTAACTATCGTAAGACATTAATTAAGGCACTGGAAATAAATTATATATATTTTATTTTTGTAGAGATAAAATTAATTTTGTTAAAAATGTTTATTATATTAAAAAGATGTTTAAAACATTTTCTTCTAATAAAATTCTATATATATAGGTTATATTTAAGTTGCTTAATCTTTGCCCTCAAGACGCTTAAGATACAGATTAGGAGCTTTTACATAATTGTTATAACAAAAAATGTTATAAATAATATGCTAAATTAGCCCCAGCAATGAACATTAATTTCAAATTTTGCAAAATTTACATTTTTTTCCTTGTCTGAAAATATCAAAACAATGATAAGTTTAATATCTACTATCACTGACCGATGGTTTATTTTATTTCTTAAAACTATAAAAAAAAGAATCATGTTATAGTAATTTTAAAACTAATTTTTTTTGTATAATTCAACTCGTTAAGGTATTAATTCAATGAATTATTACTCTTCTTTCGTTGTTTTATGACCTTTTGGGCTGAAATTAATGACTTAGTGTTGAGTATTATTGACCTAATGGTCTATGGATTTGTCTGAGCTCAAACAAGTGGAGGATTTTTCACTTAATTTATCTACAGTATAAAAATGGGACTCGTCCAACAAAAAGTAAATAATTGAACCTTTTGATCCTCTCCCGCAGGCTTTTTGATGCAGCCATAGTTCAGATGAATCTGAACCATTGACTGTGCTATGACACACTAATCGGATATGAGGAAAAACATGATGTACGGTGGAGATTAAAATAGAGCGTGGATCGGATAATAGCACGTACTTCAATCTCATGCGCGCCATGTGATGGGTCTCCTTCTCCTACCACTTTTGGCAGCACTCAATTCCACTCTATCACTAACTTCATTTTTCCACTTCACTCACTCACCAACAGTGCAAACTTCAAACTATAAAATCCTACCCTTGCTTGTGACACTTCTCTTCCCTCTTTTCCTTTCTTTCTTTCTCTTCCCAAAGCCCATGGTATTAAATTCGCATGTGACCCTTCTATGTATTAATTACTATATAGCTAGATCTTAGGGAGCCTCTGTTTGTAGATCTTGAAGCAGAAACCAATGGCTCAACTCAATCTCAGAAAGGTAATACTGTTCTCTGGTGTGTTATTCCTTTCTGTTTCTATTTGCTTCAGTGCTTTTTTGGAACTTCAACATCAAACCACACACTTGTCTAGTACAAGAAGACTGTTGGGTGCAGAAAAAGAAGAGCATGAGAAGCCTTTGAAAAAGAAAACCACCACCCAATCCACCAAAAATCAGACCAAGCTTATCAAATCCACAGCTCCCTCTTCAAAGAACCAAACAAAAACCCTCAAATCCGACAACATTTCCTCCAAAATCCAAACCAAAACCCTCAAATCCAATATCCTTTCCTCCAAAAACCAAACCAAAACCACCAAGGCCAGCAACATTTCTACCAAAAACCAAACCAAGTCACTCAAGGTTAGCTCCACCAATTCAACTTCCAAAACCAAACCCACCACCGACACTGCCCTCAAGAAACTCAATAACTCCACCTCCACAAAGATCAAGAAGCTCAACGTCACTTCAAAATCCCCAACATCAAAACCCAGCACCGTTTCCATTTCAAAAGCATTGGATCTCGCGAAAGCAAGTGACAAAACGACAAAAGCCACCGCCACAAAAGACAACAACAAGAAGCAACAAGCTAAAACAACAAACGCAGATCAAACTCACGAGGCAACAAACAAGAAACAAAATACTCCACTGCAACAAACTCCACTGCAACAAACCAAGAAGAAATCAACGAAACAAGCAGCACCGAGTTGGATTCTGGACGAGGAAGAAGAGGAAGATAATTTGGTTTCAGCGTTCACAGATCTACCGAACAAGTTCCACCAAACACTCCTCCCCGACCTCGAACGAATCTCAACCACTTCCAAAGCCTACATCACGAAAGCCAATAATGAAATGACGAAAGGCTTCAAACCCTACGTTGGAAAAAAATATGCAGCCACCGTCTCCACTGTTATCTCATGCTTTTTCATTTTGATCCCTTTGCTCTTAGTTTCGCTCCTCTGCACAAGAATCAAACCCTATTTCTCCCTCCAGAAAATCTTGATCTTCATCCAAGTGTACCTCTCTATCTACTTCACCCTTCTCTGCGTTACATCGTTGTTCACTGGTCTCGAGCCACTCAAGTTTCTATACACCACTTCGCGGTCCACGTATCTGTGCCTGCAGGTGCTGCAAACTCTCGCTTACGTCTTCTATCTGCTGCTCCTCCTCATGTACCTCGTGCTTGTGTTCTCGACGGAGTGTGGGCTGGGCTCGAAGTTCTTGGGCCTCGCCCAGATCTTTCTGGGCTATGCCGTTGGGCTGCATTACTACGTGACGGTGTTCCACAGGGTGGTGTTGCAGCAACCGCCCAAGACCAATTGGAAGATCCACGGGATTTACGCCACGTGTTTTCTCCTCGTTTGCGTGCTTGCCACAGCTGATAGAAGGAAAAAGACTTACGTGGAAGACGGTGGAGGAGAAGGCAAGAAAAATTAATCTATTTATTTTGTGATTGTTATTTATCATTATTTTTTTTTTATTTCAATTTGATTCAATTTAATAATTAAACCTATAATATCCAAAAGCAACCAAGCAAGTTTGTTCTATAAATAAGACCATGACATGACAACAACAGTTTGAAGCTTCCTATTTTTTATCGAAACCGGGACTGTTATTTTCATAGACTCTTACTTGAGCGTGAAAATACAATTTGCAAATTTTACTTAACAGCATCTTTTTCAGCTTCAATTTAATACAAAGCTATAATAACATTTTTTTTAGTAACACATGATATTTAGAATAATTTAATTATTTAACTATACTTCTTTTTAGTTTTATTATTATGCGAAGCCTATTGCAGTTTTTTGAGTTGGCCACCGACAACTTGTGATGTCACATCGGCACGTGCCACGTGGGCGCTAATAATGCAATTAACTAGAATTTGGAAAGGTTTCTTAGTTCATTTAGGGCACAACAGCCCCCATTAAAGTCGTAATTTGCTCACACTTTTCATTATGAAACCCTCCTCGAAGTTCTTATTTTTAGTTGTAAGTTTTATTAATCATAAATCGATATATATATATATATATATATATATATATATATATATGATAAATGAATAAAATATATAGACAGAGAGAAAAATACATATAAAAAGGTGGTGATAATTTGACAGAAATCATACAACCCTTTCAACAACTCATTTTTATTAATATAATAATTTTTTAAACAACTCACTTTTATTAATATAATAATCATTTCAAACAACTCATTTTTATTAATATAATAATTTAATTATTATTATAATATTAAAAAAGAGTTGTTTATAAGATTGTACGAGAATATTTTTCATATAAAAAATTCATATATGCAAAAACCTTTCAATTTCAAATAGTAGTATAAAAGTTTGGGTTGTTACTTGTAAAATGAAAGAAAAAAATTAGTTTTTCACACGTCATTGTAACTTAAAAAATGCTAGAATGTAATTTTATTTTGAATAATTAGATTTGTGAAAAGATGTGAAATAGTATTATATTATTAATTTATTGTCCGAAAATCATATTCAAACCTAAATTAAAATTCAGAAAGAAAAATTATTTGTTAGTGATTCACAAATTATATTTATTAGAAAAATATGAAGTACTTACAAGAGGAAAAATCTATTAACTAATTAGGTCAACATTATTTTTGAGAAACAAAACTTAAAAAAAAACAAGTCAAGATATAAAAAATGTTACAATAGATATTTCTTGAGAACTAAAATATTATTCACACAAGTTAGAGGAGTTTAAATTTATTATGGAGTTATCTACGTTGAAATATAATAAAATAAAGAAAAACAAAAAGAGGTGTTTTTAAGACAAAGTCAAAGAAGCTGAAAACATTATGAAATAGAAAAACTTAAAATGAGCTAAAATATTTACACAAGTTAAAGAAGTTTAAACTTATTATCAAGTTATATATTGAAATATAATAAAATAAAGAAGAATTATGAGAAGAAAATATTATTCTCCACAGTATAATAGTATATTTTATGGATTACATATTAATGAAATGAGATCAAGAAAGTAAACACAGCAGGGAGAATTTAAAGGAATTTCTGACAAGTTAGTTATTAAATGGACAATTACTGGTAAAAAAAAATTTACGAACCAAAATATTATGTTGAGAAACAAAACTTGATTGTAAATGATCACAGATGAAAAATGTGACCGTGACAATGAAATTGAAATGAAGTGGTGGTTTCATAAAAAAAATAAAATAATAAAAATTACAAGTAAAAGATGAAAAAAAATATCAATTTCATATAAATAAATAAAAAAATAAAGAATATTAAGAATATTTATTTTATTTATTTTTATTTAAATAATTTTATTATTGCTTAGAACATGTGAAAAGAGATTATATTATTGTTTTGATTTATCTAATTAAAATTAAAATATTGTTAATATTTAATATTTTCTTATATCTTTACTTTATATATATACAATATAAAAGAAGAAATAAGTTTAACTATATGATATACCTTATATATATTAACAGAAAAAAAGGTTTTATAAGATTTCCAAATTTCTTTTAATATTTTCATATTATATATATATATATATATATATATATATATATATATATAAAGTCTTTATAAGATTTTCAAACTTCTTTGAATATTCGTTAGTTATCTATTATGACTTAGTGTATATTTATAAATTATCATATAATCCTTCCTATCTCTAATTATCATGGAAATTAGCAGTTTCATGTTAGACCATACCTCAAACACTAGACATTATTTAGTAACTTGAATCATAGGTCAAACATTAATCACTATTTAGTAACTTCATAATTACTGATGTTTAGTTAATAATCATGAATTTTGATTTTGAGTGGTGATCACAATTATCATCAAGATCATTTTTTTTGTGATCCAGTAGTAAAATAAGTCATTTGACTAACATATAATATTGTTGAAAGTCCCACGTCGTCTACCTCAGTTCATTTTGTATGGTTTAAATACATGTTAGGCTACTCCACATATTGTCAATTGGTTTTATGTTAGAACCTTAACATGGTATCAGAGCCAAAGCCTAACATCGTTGGAGGGAGCGTGTTTAAAGTCCCACATCGTCTACCTCAGATCATTTTGTATGGTTTAAATACATGTTGCGCTACTCCACATATTACCAATTGATTTTATGTTGGAACCTTAACAAATATAATATCACATTACCCTTCACATACGAAGGAGAGATTAAAAGACTAATAAAATAAAGTCGATTATTTAACATATAAAAAATAACACTATGATGAATTGTGTTTGATTCATTAATATTTATTATTGTTTTTATTATAAATTGAACTTGTGACGAAGATTTGTTATGGTCTAATTTTTTCTTATTGTCTCTATAATTAGAGTGGTACATATAAAATTAAATAAATGTATATAAGAAATGATTATATTTAGGTTTTTTACCTTAAAGTATTATATATGATCATAATATTTATGTTCAAGTATCATATTAATACTATATTAAAAGATATTTGAGTTATGAATCGTTATCTTTAAGTAAATGTTAACTATTTTATATTGATAATATTTTTTTATAAAATATTTTAATAAATTAGATAAAAGTATATACACATATCCTCGAGCTAAAATTCAAGTAGAAAATAGTTTTTATAAGTGTGTGACAGGTTTAATTTGATGTTTTTGGCCATGATGAAATATTTTAAAATGATTTTAAATAATGAAGATATAACTCAACAATCCTCATACATAAAGTAATTAAGTGTGATACTCTTAATGAAAGATTTTTCTATAAATATTGAGGCAAGACTATTGAATTATCAATGTTTATTTTTTTAAGTTTAATCTAAAAAATATATTTTAAAAACACAAGTAAAAATGCGCAACCTTTTGAGATTTGAGCACATTGTTTCATCTTCATCAATCATATAAATAGATAACTTTATTTTAGTCATTATTTCATCACCGATGGATTTGTGTTTGTTTTGAATACTTGTTCTTCTACTGTGATAGATTTTAAGCCTCGATTTTTTTTTGCTTGTGCTTTTAACAAAGATGCTTTAGGCACATAGTTGCCTCTATTTCGTGTGGATTTTTCTTTCAAACATGCATGAAACATCTTTCTTTACTAATAGTGTATACGGCTTTTTGTTTGATGTATATTCCTTACCCGATAAAGAAGGGTTAAATATTGATGTTTTTTAAGAGGTTTATGTTATGGTTGAGATTTTTTGTTTTTATATGATTTTGAATAAGAATAAATTATTTAAGAATATTTTTGGATAAGATTAATTATAAGTGAAAGTAAAGAGTATGAAGAAAAAATTTATCTGTTCAAGAAAATATAAAAATAGATTTCGTGTTTCAAGTATTTGTTTGGATGTAAAAAGTTTATGGAATACTTCTATATTCTTTATTTGGTTAGAGTTTATGATTGTTTGTTAAATTCTCTTAGAATATAGTTTAGGCTTAGTTTGAGAAATAAGGTATGAGAAGAACCTTTTTGGCAAACACTCCCTTACCTACCTCCCTTATATAAAATGAGAACTCATACTCATTTGTACATTTTTCAACTGAAATAAATATAGAATAATTTTGTAAAGAACATGACTATATATTTTTTTAATTACTTTAGTTATCTTTTTCTTCAAAAAATATGGTCAATTTTAGTCTCAAAATTTAAAATTTTATAACTCTAATTATTTAAGTAAATTAAATATAATATAACGTCTTCTTTATATTGTGTTTGAATTGGGTAGAGATTTAAAAGAGTGTATTTGAGGTGATTTATAATAAACTGTGGTGTTGTTTGGATCCAGGAAAAAATATTATATTTGATTGAATTTATTGTAAATGATGTAATTGATGTTACTAAATATAAAAAAGTTAAATAATTATTTTTTAGTGTAACAATTAAAATATCTTATTATGATTATTAAATTAAGTAGAAATTATAATTGTGATATAATTAAATATACTAGTGTTAATTATTTTATATTATACATAATTTTTAAATATATTAATATTATTTTATATATTAAATATAACTAAAATGATAATTGCCACTTTATTCATGGAAATGGAATATCGGCTTTTTCATTTACTTGATCACTTTGTGTATGGGTCTTTTTGACACTTTACCCCATTTTTTTTTTAATTCAAACATTTATCCATTTAAATGTGAGAGATTCTCATTACATAAATTACTGCAAGTACACATATTTAAACAAGGGTACATCTACTCTACCCTAATTGTGGCTCACAAAAAAAGCGTTACTTTTTCATCTTCTATTCTCATTTGATAATTTACCTTTCTTATCTTAAAAATTATGTATAAAAACCCTTAATCCAATATACTCTTCAAGAAGAATTATTATCTAAGTCATAAACTTCATTTAAATAATACATAAACATACTACACCAATAAAAAAGTTAAATAGCCAAACAAAAATTCAATATCCAAACAAAGATTCACCAAACCTTGCCTAATATATATAATTCAAATTTTATACATCCCTAACTTCTTTAGTATATCCGTAACATAACTCATTTATTAGATATGCAAAAATTAGCTTGATTCAACCAAAAACATGATTGAGTCACCACTTCTCATAGTTTTGACCACCTTCTACTCTAAAACAATCTCCAAATTATATTAAGATTCTTGAAACTAAATAAAAAATCATTTTCTTCCCTCTCCCTAAAAGCAATCAAACCATAACCTACATGTACTAGTATTAAAAACTTAATAACAAACAATATTCATCTTTATTTCTTATATTATTTTTTTGTCGTTACTTGTTTTAATTCATTTAGATTATTTTTTTTAACTAATATAAAAAAATATAATCAAGATTTATTTAAATTATTTTTTCTTATATTTTTAAAGAAATAAAAACTTCTTATTAACATAAAATTAACTTAGATATAATTTTAAAAAAATTATAGGAGGTTATTTATACTAATTTATATGTAAACTAAGTTAATTAAAAAAAAAACTTAATTTAATATTTTTTATATTTTTCTCTTATGAAAAAATTCATCTAAAAAAATTAGTTCAGCCATGGGTTAGTTATCTGAGGCCCAAAGACAGAGACATCTCTTGAGCATAGGATCTAGCCATATAGGTCTGACAGGTATCTCTGAACCAAATTAATCAAAGCAGACAACATCACTGATGTTTTCCTACGCATAACAGTGTGTTTCTGCAATAATTCTAGGAAAAATATCAATCTAAAACATGGTTTTATCTGGCAGCTTTATTATGACAAGTTATTTTAAATTTATCCTATCTATCCTCTACATATAACGATTACACGTTCTAGTTGTATGTAAATACAAATAATCGAAGAGATTAACAAAATTGAAAATTTTAAAAAATTATAAAACTATGATTACTATTTCCATTTTATCATAAACAATTCATTAACTCACTCTTTGTATGAAGAATTTTAATATTTTAGATAAATTAAATACTCGTAAATAAGTTTTAATTTTTTTGTTTTTTCAAAATGCTTTGTCAGATTAAATCAATTCAATTTTGAAAATTAAAATTCTCAATATAGATAAAGTAATTTTTCCTACTATATTATATATATATATATATATATATATATCAAATTATAGCAATTAGACTTTTATAAATGGTTATATTTTTCATAAATTTACCAGTATTAATTAATTGTATTATTTCTGAAAAGTAACTATGTGTAACGGGTCATTCAACTCTTCACTTTTTGATTTCTCAGTCACTGTTGCTATGCATGGGTTTGTACCTAATTGGCCCATGCATTTCAATATTATACGCTAGTGCGCAATTGGTCCCATTCATGGGGTCACTCCCAACCCAAACGCAACCCATTCAAATATACAAGCCGACAAAGAAAAGGAAAATAAAAAATAAATATTACAGCACTATTTATTTATCTTTTTTAATCTAATTATTTTCTTGATTTTTTAAATAATAGTTAATTCCACACTTCTCCATCAAGTTAAAACAGAACTATATCTTTCTGATTTTGCAATTAAATGAAAGAGATTATAAAAATATATATTTCTTTTCGAGTAATCTTTATTGGCGAGGCGACAAGGATGTAAGTAGGCACTAGAGTGTTGTTGTTAATACGTATAAACAATTATAAAAATAAAAATATATTATGTAATTAGATTAATTATATTAATTTCTTCATCCATTTTTGTAAAATATCTATTTTGAAGGATAATTTAGTTTTCCCTCCTCCCTCAAAAGTGAAAAAATTGGTATAAAAAAAAAGAAGAAATCATTGTTAAAATAAAAACAATCATTTTAAATTTATACTTGTGCAGTACAGTGTAGTAGAGGCTCAGCATAATTCCGTTGTCTTCCTTCTCCGTTGCTTACTCTCTTTTTCTCCTTTCTCTCTCTTTCACTGGAAATTTAACCTAGATCAAAAGATGACGGTGCTGTGAGAAAAGCGTGAGAGAAAGGGAGACCGAAAAATTCACAAAGCATCCAAGTAACACGTGAATTCCAACATTAAACTGTCTCAGGTTGTAGCCCACAACGATAAATTTGGATCTGTCGTTTACAACCATCTCCGATCTTCGCTTTGAACGACGCTTTGCTGAAACGACCGCACTCTTTGTCCTTACCTTTTATAGCTTGCAACTCTCTCTCTCTCTCTCTCTCTCTTTAGCAGCTTCGGTGTTCTGCTTTTCCTGTTAGTGCGAGAAGACCGTTACGCAACAGAGGGTAATTTTATCACCCAGTCTTTTTTTTTGTTTTCTTTCTTTTTTTTGCGTGGTGGAATCGATTGTGCCACAGGAAAAACCGGTTGTTGATACTGCGTAGTGCGAATTCGATTCTGCAACACGCTAAAGACTAAATGGATTTTTTTTGGGGAATTTCGTTGACTTGTGTGGGAATGTTGATGCTGTGAGTGGTTTGTAGGTACTAGCTAGGTAGTGTGATCCTCTTACCCTATCTCTTTCCGTGATTCACTCTGGGTTTGACTTTCTATGTGAGAATATTTATGTTCTTTTTTTTCTGTTTCAGCAATCACTGTTTCTTTACCCGTACTATTTCAGATGGAAAGGGGATAAATAAATGTTGAAATTCAGACTTTTTGCCACTAATTTAAATGTTTGATGATGTGGTGGGCGTCTTTGTCTCTTTCAAGGCTGATGCAGAATAAGCACTAAAAACAATTTTGATTTGGAATTTAATTTGTATGTCTTGTGGTTTTATTTTGATGTAAGTTGGACTCGTTTGTGTAGGTTTTGTTTGCAATGAGTTGGGCATTTTTAGTAGTGTGGGTACTGGGAAATGGTCGTAATAATTAATCGATGGCTTTGCATTTTTTTTTTGTTTGGTTTACTTTTTCTCTCTGAAAATCTAATGTTGTTTAGGGAACTACAGAAGAATTGGTCTTTTGGTTTGTATGTATCTGGGGTTGTTCTGATCACTGATCTGTTATTGTGACTTTCTGCAGTTTTGAAGTGGTTTTCTTGATTCCGCTACCTTATGAGGAATTGTTTTGTTGATCTATGAGGTTGTTATTCTAATTTATCAAGCATGGATAAAGTTTCATCGGACTGTCCATACCCAGGGTGCTTTTTTTGTGTCATGAAGGAGGGGAATCCGAGCAAGCGCAGAGCTAGTGTACTGAAATTCTTCAGGGAACTTCCATGTCAAGATGACGATGGTCAGGTTCTCCCTATCAGTGGGCTTTGGAACACGGCTATGGCACATCCAAATGATCCGGAATTCATAGAGCTAGGAATATTTGAATGCATGTCTGCTCTCATATGGAAGGGACTGAAGAACCGGCGATGGCTTTCTCATGATCAAAATATATATATTCCTTATTATGCAGCTCATATAATTGGTTCCTACACAATGAATATGGAGGAATTTGCAGAAAATGCTGTGCATGCTGGGGTCATTCCTCCCTTGGTTGAGCTTTTAAGAGGTAGATTAACTTGGGTTGAGCAGAGGGTGGCAGTTAGAGCATTGGGACACTTGGCTACATATGCCAGCACTTTTCCGGCCATAGCAAGCCATGGTGAAATTCTTGAGCTTTCCATTCAATTGGCAATGAGTTCCCTGGAAATAGTTTATTCACATTTTTACCAATATGTTGATAGAAGGCTTAGCTATCATTGTGATCTGCTTACACGTGGTATGGGTGGTGTAGAAATGGAGTCCAGGAAGGCTGAGGAATGGGCTAGTCAGTTGCAGTGTTGGTCCCTTCAGCTAATTAATTGCTTTGCTTTTAAACATGAATTTCTTCCTACCATATGCAAACCTGAATTTCTGATAAAATTACCTGGCATGTGGGGTGGACTTGTGAACGAGAACTCACCAGCTGGTATTGGCTTATTAAGAACAATTTGTCATCAAAAGCTTGGTAGGGGACCTGTTGCCAGTTGCCCTGGTATTATTGACGCATTGTGTAATATTGCTCGGTCTTCAGATGATTGGCAGTATATGGCTATTGATTGTCTTCTATGGTTGCTTCAAGATCCGAATACATGTCACAAGGTAAAACTTTCTCAACTATGCTTGTTTGCCCTGATGAGCACTAAGGAATACTAGTGATTGTATCTAGAAGAATGCTTTGATTAATATGTGAGTGAAAGTTGATTCTTTCTTATGCCTTGAACTAACTTAAATTAAATTAAAGCAAATGGAAACGAAGGAAAAGCCATTACCCTTAATCTCAACCATTTTTATTAGGCATGGACCTTCACCTTGAGATCTATCACATTGCATGCCACTTATTTATATTTCTCCTTGGTTAAACATGCTTATCAGTTTCTGTAATTTAACTTGCAAATATCATTGAAAGTTGCGGTCTGATGAGAAAAATCTATTGGTTGAGATATTTCTGATTACAAGAATGGTAATCTGATGAGAAGGAAATAAAGAATGGTTTTAGTTAAGTATTTTATTTTTTTATCTATAGCAGTTCCATTTGAACATCTGTATACACCATGGCTGGGAATAGTATTTCAAACTTGTGGTCATGTGTAGGCGACTTAAAACTAGTTAATACTTCCCTTCATCAGTGCCCCTAAAGGGAGGTGGCTGGTCCTTATCAATGCATACACCAATGGATCTGTCAAATGTAAACTGGATGCATCATAACAATACCTTCTGTCCAAAGAATTACTCAGTTTTAAATTTATCCTTACGGATTTGATGCTTTCATTCAAGCTTCAATTGCTATATGAGTTAAGTTTATATCGTTTGAATATTGTAACTTGATTTCTGTGTTTGATAAGGCCTTGGCGAATATTGTGTAGGTGATTGATAAAGTGGTGCCTGTTTTAGTTGATCTTGCGGAGATTACAACTCTGGGTGATCACAAAAAGCTCGGTGATTCAATTGTTAATGTTCTTCAAGAGTGCATTCAGTTTCAAGGGTCAGGACGAAGCTCAATTAGCAATCGGACTAAAGAACAGATTGAGGATATACTAAATTCAAAGCAGAGATTAAAGTGGGAAAAGAATATGCCCAAGGAAGATCTACATATTAAGCAAGCCGCTGCTCTGGTTGTGAAGCTTGAAGGAAATTCTTTGTTCTCATCTGGAAATATTTCTGGAGCTGCATCAAAATATTCTGAAGCATTGTCTTTGTGTCCTATGAGGTCTAGGAAGGAGAGAGTTGTTCTATATAGTAATCGTGCTCAATGCCATCTTTTGCTGCAACAACCTTTAGCTGCGATTAGTGATGCTACCCGTGCACTATGTCTCCATAAACCTGTCAATCGTCATGCGAAAAGCCTTTGGAGACGAGCACAAGCTAATGACATGCTTGGATTAGCAAAAGAGAGTTTGCTAGATGCTATTTTATTTATAAACGAGTGCTCTCAGTCAAATGATCCTGATCTTTCACTGAGGCAGAATAAAGTTCCAGATTATGCAGAGCGTTTAGTCAAGAAGCAGATGCGTGCTGCTTGGTTATTTCGAGAGGCAGCTGTTAAGCATGGTGGGGTCCACAGTCAGGGTGATGGTGGTGATATGTATGGTCCAGAGACTGATGATTCTGAATGGGAGACAGCTAGTGAAAGTGATATAGGAAATGATGGAAGGGATGATATGGGCGATGATGACGACGGTGACTGGAATAATGATGATGAGAGGAAAGATTATGACAAACCTTCAATGAAAGGTATTCGCTATATCTTTACTATTTATATGCTTTATCAATAATTTCCATTGTTATGTGATCCCACTTCGTGTTTGTTATGTATACTTTGTATGCGGGGAACTGGGATTGGCTAATAAAGAGTTCGCATTTTAAAGTAAAAGTAATAAATAATAGGTCCTATCAGCTTGAGATATAGATATGCAAATTCTCTTGGATGACATTGTCCCACCCTTAAGAAACACCAACTATATGTTTGTTTAGTTTAGGTATATATGGTGGAGAGTTGTATGTTGGGTTCACGTATACCATAATCTGTATTTAGACTTCTTGAAAAGAATAGTTCCTACCTGATTGATACAAACTGGATAGTTATGATAGTTCCTACGTGACTCTGGATTTTGGGTTTTAGTTACGATAGAGGACAAATTGATGCAAACTCTTTTAATTGTGTAGCCAGGCTTTCCTTGTTTGTAGCATATTGGCCTCCCGTCTTAACCCTGATCATCGACTGAAAGCTTGTGCTATAAGCCAGGCTTCCTGTACTTACGTCGCTACTATTATGATAAAACATAGTGCAGCTGTTTGTCCTTTTATACAATGTCAGAATTTATACTCATGCACACGAACACAAGTAAATTTGATTGAGTAATTGTATTTTTATCCAATATATAGAAAGAAAAGAATAATTTGTTCGAAAATAATATATATATATATATATATGATATTCCTTACAAAAACTATCAAACTCCTAATCTTTTTAAACCACTTTATAGTTTTAATTACTGAATGGAATTTTTCTCTCGGGGTAGAGTAAATATGTAATATATCCATCAAGATGCAAATAGTATATGGCATTTTTTTGGAAGTGGTGTCTAATTTTCAAAAGTTTGGTTTCCTCCAGATATAAAGCATGGATACAATGTGCAGCTTGAGGAAGAACCTTGACATAGAAATTCTTGCATTTGGGGCAATAGTTCACCACCATAAATGAAGCAGGTTTGGATTCAGTGACTATTCTAACTCTACATGCTTTTTGGGCTTTAAAAGAGAAATTCCAAGTCGGTCGTTGGAGTAAGTGGCAGGATGAAAGTGATGACCGAGTCTTTGGTCTTTTACTATTATTTGAGGTTGAGATTTTATATAAAATTTTCCAAGTTCCATATTTGTTCCCCCCATTTTTCTTGTCAAGTGTAAAAATCGATGATTTCAAGTTTGGAGAACTACATAGTTTGGAGGATGTGAAGTTTTTTTTTCTTTCAGAAGTTTGTGTATATAAACAACTCGTGCTAAGTTTTCTGAGTCCATTTCCACTATTGTTTTGATTGCAGTTTGCCTGATCACATAGGCCTGGTTATATTTTCTCCCAATCATCCTGATAAAAAACAATTATTTTAAACAAAAAGTTAAAAGGTTGTTGAAATGTGATTATTAATTTTTAATTAAACTAATTCAAACATGTGTATATTGAATAATAAGTTACTGATTATATCCATGTGAAGTAATATACTTTTGGTTTTTAAACCTGACTATGTCCTCGGGATAAGAATTTATTTATTTTTTTTCAACGTGGAGCAATAGTTGATACAATATTTGCAAAATGATTTATTTGTGCTGAAAATATTTTTTAACCTTACCTTTACGTTGTCAAAAGTAACTTGTTATAGGTATATTGGGATCAATTATATACACTAAGTGTTTTTAAAAGAATAAAATGTCTTTATTAATAAACTAATTTTTAAAAAGAATTGTATTCTCTTTGAAGCCCGTAACTTGCAATCATCAACTCCTAATATATTAGTCTATGAAGTTTTTTAAATAACAAAACATGTAGATTATTTTTTTTAAATTCTTTTTGTTTAAGTTTATCTTGTTAACAAACAAATTAATCGGATTTCTAAACCTTTATAATAATACAATTTACTTGCTCTCCCTTTTTGACAAAATATATTATCCTCTTATCTTTGAAGTAACTTAATAATGTGATTGATTGTCTATGGTTTTCAGTTGTTAATTTTGTAACCATTATCACTTATTTGTAATTAAAAAATAACAAATATTGTGTTGGTTTAAAATATAATAATTACTAAAAATTGTTAACAAATATTTAAAAATTTAATATTAATTGTGCGGTAAAATTTTAAACATTCTTATGATAATAAATAAACGTTATATAAAGTTGGAAATTACAGAATAAAATTTCTATAAAAAATATAAAATATATTGTATAATAAAAATATTTATAAAATATGATAATGAATAATTGATTAAGTATTATTTTTCTAAAATTCAGTAACTAAAATTATAATTAAACTTTGTTAGCATGAAAGCACTATAATTTATTAATTATTATTCTCTTCCACCATCCTAGAAAAGTAGTAAATCAAGGCATAAATAAAGAGGAGAAAGAAAGAGTTGTTGGGCATGTAGGATCTCTCTATAGTTCTATTTATAGTAATCCTCAAGGGTAACTCTATAATTTTAATTTATTTAGGTGTCCCAATATTTATTATATCTTAAGTCTAATAAATACTTTTCAGGTAGGTGTCCAGATATTTTTATTGGGCAAATTTATTATCCTAGGTAGACCGTAGACGATTGGGACAAAGTAGTATTTTGTTAACTATAAAAGAAAAATGATCAAATAATTTATTGAAGTTGGGTAAGTTTTACTTTATTTTAGTTAATTTCAAACCAAATTCATAAAAATTGGTTGCAATCCATTAATTTGTGTTGATTCGAACCTTTGTACTCAGTTATCAATCCAATCCATGAGTACATACCCAACAATCATCAACCTTTGCAACTTATTAGGTTCTTCTGTCATCATTTAATTATATGTATTTGATGAAATGATGAAGCTAATAATATCTACTGTTAATTTAGTCATTAAGAAAATATCTGATTGAGTCTTTATATATTTTTTTAAAATTAGTTAATTTTAAAATACTATAATTTAATAATAATGTGACTTTTAATTTAATGTTAAATTGACCTCTAAAAATTAATACATTATTGATTTAATTAGTATTGAAATCGGTTTTTTTAAATAAATTGTTAGGTTGGTTGATATTATTCTGTATTACTCATAATATGATTGTTGTAAATGTGAAATTCTTATTTTAAGACTATGATTATATAATTTTTAATAATTAAATAAAAAATTAACTCATACATTCTATAACAATTTATTTTTTTCACCCTTTATTATCATTATCTCTGTTCTCCTACATTACAAAATTAGTAATCGAACCGTCCGAATTAAATGGGTTGGGTGATTTCTTCAAATCAATGTCTTAAAAAGTTGAAACGGGTTGGCCATGCTTGGTGTCTTGTCCCACCATCCATTAATTCTTGGGTAAGGTAAAGACTATTTTTCTTTTCTTTTTACACGAACTTAAAAAAAAAAATTGTGCTTTTATTTACTTTTGAGACAATATTAATTGTTGTTACTTTGATTTATATTTTGCCTTTATATATTTAATACAATCATTTTATAGATGAAAATAATAATAATAATGTGATATTAAAAATATATGTATAATTTGAAAATAAATCAAACTATTGTTTTCTTTTGATAGGTATATTATAGTTAAAAGTAGAAAGGAAAAAAATTAATATATTATTAAATATTTTTAAATGCAATTGTGTTTAGATAAAAAAAAATGCAACTGTCAAAAAGTTGGTAAAGTGAGACAAGCAAGAGTCATCTTACATTTAAGAGATCCACATTCAAGTCTTAATTTGTTTTTTCAGGTGAGAGAGCCTAGGAACTTTCATAAACATTTTTCGTTTGATGATTTCCGTGCCTTAGACTCGGACACTTATAAATTTTAGTCTATATATAAAAAATTAAAATGTTAATTTTGTTTTGTTCAGCCTTTAAAAGGTTATTTTAGAGTATATCTTTTTAAAGAATATTATCCAAAAATATTTAAACTTATCTAATTGAAATTAAAAAAAATGTCTAATTGTTTTATTTTAAAACATTTTTTATAGAAATATACACCAACATTTTTAAGAGTGGGTGGACTTTAACTCTATCCGGTATTGTAACCAAAATTATACATTATATATACAAACTTGCAATAAAATTCCGAGAAAGTATGAACAACGTGAGATCGAACCCGACCCGATTTGTGAGTGGCCATGGTAGAGAAGAAGACCACCCGTGTGGAACACGTTCGTGTCCTGCGTTCCACACTCTAATCCCTCAAACTATCTCACATATCTAATAAACTCTTTCACTGTTTCTCTTCTCTTCGGTTTGGCGTTAGTATTTTACAATTGACCGCACCAAATATATCATATATGCAGTTCGCGCAACCAAACACCAACCTCTTAAACCTCTTTCTCTATTCAATACCTCTGCGCTCGTTCCCTCCTTCAGCCACCGAATGAGTGTTAATCATCAATCATCTATATGTCAGGTTTGTTTCGCTTGCATTCAATCTCCGTGAAAAACAAATTCTCTATTCTATACACTTCGGATTCGCTTCTCGAGCTTTTGCGTTCATCGTTCGTGTTATTTCAAATCTGAGACGTTTTTCTGATCGCCGCCGAGGACTCACTTCCGCCAACAATCGAATATGCTTGCTGTTGTTAAACTAGAATGTTCTGCTTTGTAGCGAGTATGTTCTATTACGAAGCTTTAGGCGCGTTGGATAGGAGGAGCATGATTAACGTTTTCGACCTTGAAGGTTAGCTCCTGTTAGGGATTTTGCACGTTTGGGATCTACTACTGACAAATGGAGAGTTTATCTTGTATGATAAAAAAATACATGTTATATTTTGACTGCAAGGAAACTTGTTTGCGTTTACTTTGATTAGTTTAATTACACTTAATAATGAGAGATATCTGATTTAAATAAAAGAAATTTGATATGGTTGTTGTTATTTAATTATGCTCTTGATGTGATGAGAGGTTATTATTCGGTATCTTGAACTGAAGCACCTTGCTCACATGTATGAATAAACTTCATGTGCATTTGTTTGACATGGATGTGGGAACCTCAATAATGTGATTGTGAGTGACCGAGTATGGTGCATCTAAAGCATGCTACTCTGCGCCACAGTTCTTGCTGCTGATTTGTCAATTTTTTTTTTTTCTGTTAATTTTAATTTCGGCTAGAATTTGTTGCTCCCCAAGGTACGAGGAGCAATCGTGACGCGTTTATTTGCTGGTAGAAGAGAGGTTGATATTCCGCCATGCCTTCCCTTCAACTCTTCCAACTAACCCAGCATGGCCGGGGTTTTCTGGCTTCCAGGAGGTATACTAACTTTTTCTCTGAATGTTTTTCGTGACGAATAAGTTAATCCTGACGTTGATGTTGACTTGCAGCTTAATTTGTTTGCCTATTGACCTATTGCATCACGATTATGTTTTTATCGGCTATTTTATTTTTCTTTTCATAATGGATCTAAAACTGAGCTTTGTTTTATGCTCAAGGAGAATAGTCAATCACATTTTCATAATCAGCAATAGAATAGATAACGCTCAAAGCTCAAAATTTTGAAAGTATTTTTCCACTTCAATTACAGCCTTGCGTCTTCATATTAGTAGTAGTATCTTGTTTTGTAATAATAAAATCATTACAATGTTTAACGGGTTTTGCACGAACGTTATTATCTGGTTGATTCATTGTCCTTGCGTGCTATGTCAGAAAAACTCTGCTACTTGCAACTGGTATCTTAGTTGCTGGTGGAACTGCAGCATATGTGCAATCAAGGATTAGAGTTAATAGACATGATATATTAGGCGATTCTGATGAGCACAATGATGACAACGAGCTCACAAAGGATGAGGTTATGAAAAGAACTTCTGCACCAAAACATAAACAGAAAAAAGGAGGGTTGAAGTCGCTCCAAGTCCTTGCTGCAATTCTTTTATCTGAGATGGGCCAATTAGGTGCAAAGAACCTTTTATCCTTAGTTTCTATAGTGGTAAGTCTATTTTGTTATGTATACTTATGCTTTGTGATTATCAATGCAAAATATCTTTATGTATTCATGTATTTGTTGTGATATTTTGCTCTGTCAACTTATCTTTGAGATTAAAGAGTCAATGCCTTACTTTGGGAAGCAGCATTTGTGATCATAACATGTATACCCACTATGTAGATGAAATATATTAATCAAAATGATTTTTTGTCCAACCTGTCATTCATTTTTTGCACTAATTTGAAGTTTCATGTGATGCATACCTTTAGACAGCAGATACGGTTCTTCTGCTGGAATGCATCATCAGGAGCGATTGAACTCTTGTGCATTCTATGTATAATCGGATTTTATATCTGTTGGACTAGGAACTGTGATTGTAGTTGAAAATATTTATGTTTTTTTTTTTACCATTTAATCAAATGGTTGGATGCGAGCATTTTCTTCTTTTAGTAGTTTAAACTAAAACGTATGACAATAAATTTAGGCAAACATACACTGGCGTAAAGACGTTGCTTTGAAATGTCTTGAAGACAATACCACAGACAATATGCGTATGAATTGACAAAGATTCTATTTTTTTAGGTTTTACTTTTCCTCTTTGGAGGGGATGGGGGAGGTTGTTGGATTGTAGAAACTACTGAAGGTGTAATCCATAAAATGGCACACAAGAGAGTGCTTATTGGAAAAGGATTAATTGGATTGCAGAGGGTTATATTTTTGAAATATCTAAATAGGCTTTTTATCAAGGTAAGATATATAAGGAATGCTACAAAAAATAATCAAACTATGAAGCCCAAATACTTCAAAATTGGTAAAGTACTGGTGTTGTATGCATATCTGGTATATGTGTACAATGTAGTACACATCCCTTGAGTATCCTCTGATTTTTTATTTTATTTTAAAATTTTACTTGCTGATATGTTTGAGACAAAACTTGTCTTAACTAGATATGACTTAACCATACAAAATGCGATTCTTCTTTTTTCACAAAAAATTAAAATATCTGTTTCAATGTGAATTATAAAATATGATACTGTTAGAATTATTATTAGTTAGTGGTTAGTAGTTAGTAGTTGGTAGTTGGTAGTTGTTTTAAATGCTATAATCCTATATATATATATATATATATATATATATATATATATATATATATATATGAGATCATAGAGTGGAGAATATCATCCCACTGAATTATAAATCTTCTTTATAACTCTCTTAACTTGGTATCAAAGCAGGTTGGTCCTGCTTTGCCTTTCTGGCCTGACGACACTCAAATAGAAGAGAAACAATTTAGGGTTAGGTTTTAAGAATTGATTTGATTAGAAATAGAAAACAGAAAAACATAAAAGATACCGTAGGCGCCACAAATAAGAATATTTGATAAGCCAAGAAGGATCGCCACAAGAATCGAATAATTCTTGATAAGATCAAGTGATGCAAGGAAGAACCCTAGAAGAGCAACAACTCACAAAGTAATCTGAATATTACGTCCGTTCATTCCGAATTTCCAAATGTTTAATACAACTTAAGTTTATAAGTTTGTCTCATTGTAGGAAATAAAGATAAATTAAAATCCTAATATCCCAAGCAAAGTTAAGTTGCTCAGATGGTTCAGTGAAGGCATTATAAACTTTGGGTCTTGGGTTCAAATCCCCACTGTAACAAATAAATAATAATAATAATAAAAACTAAATCTTTTAGTTGGGCCTCCTAGCTCTCCAAACATTCTATGCATGTGATAGGTCTAGACTCCTCCATGTTTGGATCTTTTAATAGTTGGGCCTTTATCAAATTGGTCACTTTGTATTGCAATGCCTCTTGTGTTTTTCTGAGTCTGCCTCTTGTCATAGGTCTACCTAAGTCTTAGATTGGATTTTGGTCTTGATCCTTCTCGTTATGGGCTTGGGCCTTTATCGTTTAGGTTGGTCCTGCTTTGCCTTTCTGGCCACCGTCCGTAGTCATCGTCTGACCACCGTCCGACCACCTTTTCGGTCACTTTCCGACAACTTTTTGGCAACCGTCAGCCCCCTGTCCAGTCACCTTTTTACTACCGTCCGACTACTTTCCGACCACCTTCCAGTGACCTTCCGGCCTCCGTTTCGCTATAGTTGTCCGCTGCTGCCATTCGTCAATTTTCTTGCAAAGTGAAAATTGATACTTCCCTCTCTATCTAATTCTATCTTGGGTGTTATCCTTATAGGTTCCATTGTCTCCATCTTACATCTACATTGTTTAAAACATGTCGTCAGGGCCCACAACCTCCTTTTCTGGAACTCCCACTATAACGACTGAGAAATTAAATGGAAAAAATTACATGTCTTGGTCCTCTTTAGTGGAACTTTGGTTCCTTGGACAAGGATTTCACGATCATCTAGAAGAAGATGGGGGTAAGATACCAGTAGATCAGACTCAACAATGGAAAAAGTTTGATTATCAACTTTGTGCTCTATTGTGGCAATCAGTAGAACCAAATATTTTGAACACTCTTAGATCCTTCAAAACATGTAACTCTTTTTGGAAAAAGGCTCAGAATATCTTCGCAAATGATATCCAACGCCTTTATGATTCCGCTAATCGATTAGCCTCTCTTAAGCAAGTGGATAAAGATATGATGACCTTTATTGCTGAAGCTCAATCAACAGTTGAAGAATTGAAGATGTTCCTAGAGGTGGACTCGTTAGAGGAGATAAAGCAAAAGTTGGATAAATTCTATATGGTTATGACTCTCCGGGCTATGAATTCAGAATTTGATCATGTTAGAGATCAAATTTTAACTGGATAAGAAGTTCCTTCTATGGAAAGTTTGACTACAAGACTGTTTCGTGTTCCAACTCTCAAAGGAAAAAATAATCAAGAACTTGTTAAATCTTCTGCTATGATTTCTACTCGTGGAAGAGGAAGTCGTGACACTAGAGGAGGACGTGGAGGTAGAGGACGTTCTCAGTGCACTCATTGCAAGAGAATGGGTCATACTCTAGAAAATTACTATTCTTTGTACGGTTTTCCTGACAAGATTGTCAAATTTTTCAAATCTGAAATGGTTGAACCCAAGTTCTCTCACAAAGAATATCAAGAATATTTGAGGTTAGTCATCAACAACCCCAAATTCATCAACCGCTTGCATTTCACAATCTGTGGAAAGTCAAAATCCATGGATTATTGATTTAGGTGCTTCTGATCACATGTCTGGTAATACCTCTTTGTTCTCTTCTCTCTCATTTCCTAAAACTCCTGATCTCATAACCTTAGCCAACGGATCTAAAGTAGCCTCTAAAGGAACTAGTCAAGTCTCATTTTTCCGTCTTTAAACTTAAAATCTGTTCTTTTTGTTCCTTCATGTCCCTTCAGTCTCATTTCCCTAAGTCAATTAACCAAATTATTGAATTGTTCAGTAACCTTTAATGCCAACTCTTTTGTTATACAGGAACGTGGTACGGGTCGACAGATTGGCGAAGGACATGAATTTGGAGGCTTATACTACCTTGAGACTAAATCATCTGTATCTTGTGTTGCATCCTTGTCTCCAAAACTATTACACGAACGTTTAAGACACCTTCACTTGTCAAGATTAAAAAAAATGGTTCCTGAACTTCAAACTCTTCAAGATTTTGAATGTGAATCATGTCAACTAGGGAAACATACTAGGTCCTCTTTTCCTAAACGTTCTGAATCTAGATGTGGCTCTGTCTTTTTTCTTGTTCATTATGATATTTGGGGTCCTAGTCGTGTCTCATTCTTTGACTATAGATATTTTGTTATCTTCATTGATGAATTTTCTAGGTGTACTTGGATTTATCTAATGAAAGACCGTTTTGAATTATTACCTATCTTTAAGTCTTTCCTTAACGAAATCAAAAATCAATTTGGAAAAGTGATCAAAGTTTTACGAAGTGATAATGCCAAAGAATACTTTTCTACTGATTTCTCCACTCTCTTAAGTTCCCAAGGCATTTTACACTAGTCTACTTGTCCTCACACACCACAGCAAAATGGTATAGCAGAACGAAAAAATAGACATTTGGTTGAAACTGCTCGTACCTTATTACTTAGTGCAAATATGCCTGTTCATCATTGGGGAGATGCTATTCTTACTGCATGTTTTCTCATTAACAGAATGCCATCTTCTTCTCTTGACAACAAAGTTCCACACTCTATTCTATTGCCAAAGGAGCCACTCTTTTATGTTTCTCCTCGTGTATTTGGTTGCATATGTTTTGTTCATGATATGTCTCCAGGTTTAGATAAACTATCAGCTAGAGCCATGAAATGTGTCTTCTTGGGATATTCTCGTCTTCAGAAAGGATATCGATGTTATTCTCCTGAAACCAAGAGGTACTACATGTCTGCTAATGTCACTTTTTTTGAATCAACTCCCTTTTTCCCTTCTTCTATGCAGGATATTAGTTCGGTCCAAAATGTCCTACCTATACCTTTAGTGGAGTCATTTGTACCTCCTCCTCCTGACATCCAAAATTCCACACAAAATACATCGGAATCCTCATCACTGCCTCTTATTACCTATCAACACAGGAGCCAAATGATTAGTTCCATGTCCTAAGATGAGTCTTCCTCAGCAGTTCCTTCTCAATCATCCCCTAATATCACGATTCCTGGTAATGATGACTCAAGGTGGCCCATTGCCATTCGCAAAGGTACTCGCTCTACTCGTACTCCACATCCCATTTACAATTTTCTTAGCTACCATAGATTGTCTCCTTCCTATTTTTCTTTTTGTTTCTTCTGTATCCATTATTATTATTCCAAAAAATGTGAAAGAGGCACTTGATCATCTTGGATGGCGACAAACTATCATTGATGAAATGCAGGCTCTTGAGCACAATGGTACATGGAACTTAGTTCCTCTTCCACCTAGAAAGAAGACTGTTGGTTGTCGTTGGGTTTATGTCATTAAAGTTGGACCAAAAGGTGAAGTTGATCGACTCAAAGCTAGATTAGTAGCAAAAGACTACACTCAGATCTATGGCCTTGACTACAGTGATACTTTTTCTCCTGTGGCCAAAATGACCACTGCTCGACTTTTCTTTGCTATGGCAACTGTCTGGCATTGGCCTCTTCATCAGTTAGATATCAAGAATGCTTTCTTGCATAGTGATCTTGATGAGAAAATTTACATGGAGCAACCTCCTGGTTTTGTTGCTCAGGGGGAGTCTACTTTGGTTTGTAAGTTATATCGTTCTCTCTATGGTCTCAAACAATCTCCACGTGCTTGGTTTGGAAATTTTAGTCACATTATTCAAAGTTTTGGACTAAAACAAAGTAAAGCATATCATTTTGTTTTTTATTATACTGCTTCAGGAAAATGTGTTTATTTAATTGTATATATGGATGATATAATCATTACAGGGGATGATGTTGATAAAATTTGTCTGCTAAAGAAACATTTATGCAATCACTTCCAAACTAAGGATCTTGGTTGTCTCAAATACTTCCTAGGGATTGAAATGACTCAATCAAAAGAAGGCATCGTAGTCTCCCAAAGAAAGTATGTTTTAGATATCCTGAAAGAAACATGCATGATTGATTGTAGACCAGTAGACAGTCCTATGGATCCAAATCAGAAATTAATGGCGGATCAGGGTGAACCGCTCTCTGATCCTGAGAAGTATAGAAGACTTGTTGGGAAACTCATTTATTTCACCATTACCAGACCTGACCTATCTTTTGCCGTTGGAGTTGTCAGTCAGTTTATGCAAAATCCGCGTACTGATCATTGGAATGTTGTCGTTCACATCCTAAAATATCTCAAAAAGGCTCCAGGACAAGGTCTGTTGTATGAAGATAAAGGGGGTACCCAAATATCTGGGTATTGTGATGCTGATTGGGCTGGATCCCCTATTGACAGACGCTCCTTTACAGGATATTGTGTTCTCATTGGAGGCAATATTATTTCTTGGAAAAGAAAGAAACAAAATGTAGTGGCCCGGTCTAGTACTGAAGCTGAATATAGAGCAATGACATCTCTCACTTGTGAACTAGTGTGGGTGAAACAATTCCTTCAAGAACTGAAATTTTGTGAGATCCAACAGATGAAGATGTATTGTGACAATCAAGCAGCTCTCCACATTGTCTCTAATCCTGTGTTTCATGAAAGGACCAAATATATAGAACTTGATTGTCATTTTATTCGTGAAAAATTGTTCTCCAAAGAAATTTGCACTGAATTTGTCGGGTCCAATGATCAACTTGCAGATGTGTTGACAAAGTCTTTAAGAGGACTTCAAATTGAATTTATTTGTTCCAAGCTTGGCACATACAATTTGTATGCTCCAGCTTGAGGGGGAGTGTTAGAATTATTATTAGTTAGTGGTTAGTGGTTAGTAGTTGGTGGTTAGTAGTTGTTTTAAATGTTGTAATCCTATATATATATATATATATATATGAGATCATAGAGTGGAGAATATCATCCCACTGAATTATAAATCTTCTTTTTAACTCTCTTAACTGATACATTGGATGTAATTTGAGACATTTATTATGGAAACACTATATTCTAATATGGGGGATTGTATTGTTATGTCTAATTTGTTCTTGTAAATAGGTGTCTGTTCATTCTCATTAAGCAAGTGATATCTTTCTCCCCTAAACAATTCTAAACCTGAAAAGAAAAATCAAAACAACATTTCTAAGCTTCAGTAGTTAGTATATGATTTGGTTGAATTGCTTCACAAAAGGTCATCTTCTTTCATACTTCCTTTCGACACAACAGGTCTCATTTAATGCAGAAATAATTCCTCCAACTTTTCTTCATTTGTTGCTTAATTACTAAAACTTCTCCGTCTTTTTTCTTAGTATTTCATTGGGTTTGAGTTTTATTTATTTTTCTCTTTTTGTGGTAAGCTTGTAATGATGTCTTTTTGTTTCTTGGTGAATAAAGATTGATTCAAAAGCTATGCTTTTTGCCTGGCTAACTGCCTTTTAGTATCTTTGCTTGTTACTTGATAGTTCTGTTATACAAAGATGTAATGCTCTGGATCACGCTTCTAATTTTATGATTCTCTTGGATTCTGTCACCATGATTATTACTTAGAATGAAACGCTTTTCACTTCACCGATAACCAGTTCTGTTACCTCTCGAATCCCTCTAGTTTCTTTACATGGTTTAGAAGGTAAAGTATTAGACTTGTGTATTATAAATTATAAAGACTATAATCAAGGTTATCAAACTCGATAGACTACGTAGACTCGTGGGAGTCTGGAAACTCAACTTTTCTCCCCTCTTGTGAGGTCCCAAATTTGCTCATTTTCCACTCTTGAGAACTAAACATTCTCATCAATGATGCTTTCAATTCATGAAGACAAACTAGAGTCAAATAAGCTGTGGCAAATCTAGTCATACCAGACCTTATCAAGTCCCTTCCATTTGTGAACTTCAATATACTAATTAACATTGTTCTACCATAAATGTAGGTGGTGATCCTTCTTCTTGATAGTTACTTGGTGGGCCTTCAAATGTTTCTCAAAATCTTCAAAGATTAAATCAATACAATGGGCAACACATGGTGTCCAATATAGATGCTTTCATTTCTGCATTAACAATTCTCCAGCTGCCTAGAAATTTGTAGCATTATCAGTAACCACCTACATTACATTATCTTCTCCAACAAATTTCACCACATCACCTAACATCTTAAATATCTTATTTGCAGTCTTTGAGATGTCTGAGGTATCCAATGATAAAGAAACACAGTTCCTTTAGGACTATTCACCAAAAAGTTACAAATTGAACGCCTTTTTTTATCTGTCCACCCATCAGACATAATTGTACAACCTGTTCGCTTCCACGCATCCCTATACTCTTGAAGAATTACGTCAATTTTTTCCACTACTTGTTTTAGAAGCTTCTCCGTAACATCATGATAAGATGGAGGTTTATATCCAATACCATATCTCCCAACCATCTCACACATCTTTGCAAAAGCTGGATTTCTAATAACATTGAATGGAATGACACTTGTGTAGAAAAATTCAGCAACTTGGGTATCTACTTTTTCCTTATCACCTTTCTTATATAATTGATTTAGAGTAGCTTGGACTCCATCACTAGATTTATTACCCTTTCCTTTATTTTTAAATATCCTACTACTTTCACTTTATTCATCATCAATCTCCTCAATACTATTCAACCTTCTCTTCTTCATTGAGGCATCCTTAGCTTCTGCCACAAGTTTAAGGTTCAGAATCAAATCTAGTTCCAGCAAGATCATGCTTAAATCTAAAAATTCCTCCATTGAATATCTTTGAGCAATAATTACATTTCACCTTTTTTCCATTGCCCAAAACATCTATTCCATGTTTCCACCCAATATCTATTCTATTTCCTGGTGCATTTTTACTTCTAGGTGGAAGTGAAGATGTAGCTACATTGCCCTCAGAAGAATTGGATCCAGTTCCAGACATTTTTAATTTCAATATTTATATCTAAAATAACAAAAAATAAAAAATCAATTGATTCTATCTAGCACAATAATCAGAATTAAAAAAATAATTAACTTTTTTTTTTTCTAAATCCCTAAATCTATTTGAAAACCCTAAAATCTCAAATCCCTCAATCTAACCTGTGAGAGGAGTGGCTGGTGGCTAACCTGCGAGAGGACTAGCGAGAAGGGTGGCCAAAGAGCAACGATCGGGGTGAGACATGCGACCACTGGGAGAGACACGCGATGCAACCACCACGTAACAAGAGGGAATAGATAGGCAACCAGAGGGAAGAGACCAAGGGAGCACTGTGATGCAACCACTGGCGACGACAAGCAGAAGTGAACAATGAGAAAGGAAGAGGAATGCGATATCTGAACATGTGAAAAGAGATGAGGAGTACAGGAGAAGATATAAGCATCTTTTCTCTTTTAAACTCGGTGACTCGTCTCTGACTTGTAAGTTTACTTAGAGTCCATCGAGTTCATCAAGTTTGACCCCGAGTCTACTCACGAGTTAACTCGCCATTGGTCATATGACTCGTTAACTCGTCCGAGTCAACGAGTTTGATAACAATGACTGTAACTATAGCTACAGTATAGGTTCTGTTCTTAAATACAGTTTGATTATATTATTGTACATGCTTATACAAGTTTGCTAACACAATTGCATAAGAATGCAACCTATACTTGCATGCCCAAAGGAGTGTCAATGTGTGAACACAGTAGACAATTAAATTAAATTCAGAAAAATGAGATGAAACTTTTTGTTTGAATATGAAAGCCATACTACACTGTTAAAGTTTGTATGAGAACAAATGTACGAAAATCAGAGTAGCAAATGTGTTGGTCAACTCACCAGAAATAAATAATAATAATAATTTTAGCCAATAACATTTGAATTTCACATATTTGCAGGTGCTGCGAACCACTCTGAGCAACAGACTAGCAAAAGTGCAAGGCTTCCTATTTCGTGCTGCTTTTCTTCGACGTGTGCCAATGTTTTTGCGGCTAATTTCAGAAAATATTCTTTTGTGTTTCCTCTTATCAACTATGCAGTCTACATCAAAGTACATTACTGGGACTTTGAGTCTGCACTTCCGAAAAATATTGACTAAACTTATCCATTCTCACTACTTTAAGGTAGATATTGTTGAATTGTATGTAAAAGCTATCTATTTTGAATTGTCTGTCTTTAGCCTATCATTAATTAGGCATTCCTCCTGTCTTATGAAGTATCCATATATTTACTAGTGAACTAAAAGTTTTGAGTTGTTTAACCTGTTTATAACTCTATCCTGTTTTTTCTGCGTTATTTTCAATGTATAGAAGTTCTATGTGTGATGATTCCAAATTTCCCTGTTAGCGATAAGTTCTGTTGTGTCCTTAATTGCATATACTGCTTAAAGAGGACAATAATTGTTGTTACAAACTCTTAACTAGCAGGGTACAAGGCTTTAGAAAATTAATTAAAAAAAGGGGAAAGGGGACTTGTGGTTCAATTGTTCTTGGTATGGGCATAACTTCGGGATCTTAGACTGGTCCTGACTAGAGCATTCCAGATTATTTTCTACACCTTGTATTATATGGAAGTTAATTTAGAAGTTGTGAAAGAAAAAGTATTAAGCTAACCCCTTGGTGCTTTGAACAATTGTTTGTTCATCTCCCAAAATAAGAATAACTATCCAGAATCAAATAGTTTTTTCCTTTTTTAGTTGCAAGTATGTCAATCACCATCCCGTGCACAATTGAATATATTGGTAATTGTCATGCAATGACTGTTATAATGTTCTACTTAGTTTTTATGTCAACTTTCTGTTTACATTTACTTTTATTTCAGAACATGGTGTATTACAAAATATCACATGTTGATGGTCGGATAACTAATCCAGAGCAAAGAATAGCCAGTGATGTTCCAAAGTTCTGCTCAGAGTTGAGTGAGATTGTACAGGATGACTTAACTGCTGTGACTGATGGACTGTTATACTCTTGGCGGCTGTGTTCATATGCAAGCCCTAAATATATCTTCTGTATATTGGTAACTCTAATTAAAGTGTCACAGATTTCTCACTGGCAGCTAAAGTTCATAATTTTTTGTTGAGTTTCTGATGGCTGGAACCTGTTTGATGAATGTTAAGTTCTGTGATTGTCTTTTTGATAACTTTTGTTTCCTATGCAGGCCTACGTACTTGGAGCTGGGGCTGCAATTAGAAACTTTTCCCCAGCATTTGGCAAACTTATGTCCAGAGAGCAGGAATTAGAAGGAGACTATAGACAGCTTCACTCACGGTTAAGGACGCACTCAGAAAGTATAGCATTTTATGGTGGAGAGAGGAGAGAAGAAGCTCATATTCAGCAGAAGTTTAGGACATTATTTAGACACATTAAGAGAGTGCTACATGACCATTGGTGGTTTGGCATGATTCAGGATTTTTTATTGAAATACCTTGGTGCTACTGTTGCTGTTATTTTGATCATTGAACCTTTCTTTTCTGGCCATCTAAGGCCTGACAGTTCAACTTTAGGGCGTGCAGAGATGCTAAGCAATCTAAGATATCATACTAGTGTCATCATTTCCCTTTTTCAATCTCTCGGAACTCTTTCTATCAGTGCAAGACGACTCAACCGACTCAGGTACGTTTGATTAGTCAATTGTCCTTAGAAGTTGATATTAGAGGACATGCCTTGCATGCAGGTCCTTTCTAGGGTTCATTTTGTTTGTTTACATATTTTGGTTATTCATATGTTTTATAGTGGTTATGCTGATCGTATTTATGAGTTGATGGCCATATCAAGAGAGCTAAACCTGGAGAATGAGAAATTTTCACTACAAAGACAAGGAAGTAGAAATTGCATAAGTGAGGCTAACTATGTTGGATTTTATGGTGTCAAGGCTAGTGAACTCTGCTGAACTATTTTTGAACTTTGCTTCTCTTTATTTTTTTCGTATCTTGATTATGATGATGCTCCCAAAATTCAGGTTGTGACCCCCAATGGTAATGTATTAGTCGATGATCTAACTCTTAATGTTGAGCCAGGATCAAATCTTTTGATTACAGGTATGAACTCTGTGCTCGGTGGTTGTTTCTAATTTTGCTTTGTTTTTTGTGATTGAGTCAGCCTTGTTAATTGTTCATGCATTTTTGGGGCTTAATCTTTATGTGCATTTATAGTGTAATATGGCTAAGAGTTGTGCACTATTGACTCCAAATTCAATAATGTAAAACTTTTGACTCGTTTACTTTTTTTTTATTTTTTTTATTTTTTTTTTAACACGTTAAGTGCCTAGGTTAATGCATCCAACTAGGTTCTGCATCAGAGGCATATTATCTTCAAGCTTGATTGTTTCTCAAGAGTGTTTTATGCAATTTCTGCGGTTGCCATGGTATTTTTTTTTTAAATGTAGACTAGTTGGAAATAAAAACTGATTATTCCCTTTTATTGGGATAAGGCTTGGTACATGTTGGTTGGAAAGTTGTCCACAGTATAATCCATGAACATTGTTATTATTAGAAAATATATTTAAGTCTAACTTAATTCTACAAAACTGACTTGTAAGATAAGATTTGTATCCCATTTATATACTATAATTTAATCATATCTTTTCTCAATATGAGATCTTTAACACACCTTCTCACACTGAACACTGGACATTGTGAGAGTGTGGGACTATATATTTGTAGGTGGTTTGATATTAGCCTGATAGCAAGTGGCACAATGGGCCCAACAAACCTCATTTGAATAAACTTTGATATCATATTAGAAAGTGGATTTAGGCCTAACTCAATCCTAAAAAAATCGGTTTGTAGGGTAAGATGCATGCCATTTATATACTATAATTTAGCCTTTTCTCTAGTTGATATGAGATCTCCAAAAGTTATCATCCATTACCCACTTTTACCCTTGTGCATTATCCTGGAAATTCACCTCAGCCACCATTAGCTTGTTACTTTTCTTTAGCAGCTTTATAGAAATTACCAATGACTGTTTGATCATGTAATAGATTGCTGAATTTTCTAACTGTTGTCTTCTAGGTTATTCTTGTTATTTTAGGACTCTATTAATTTTGAATTTAAAAAACAAAAGACTCCGCAATTTGCAGATTTGAAGCTAAAACTAATTGTAAACTTGAAGAAATGTTATTTGCCACTTTAATTATAGACTGATTTAATTAAGGTGGCTGCTGTCATAAATGTTGTTTAGTTTTAGTCTTTAGTTAAAAGGTTTTGCAGTTGATAATTGATTTTGTATGCATCAATGAAATACAAGTTTATAATGATAATTGTAATGTAATAAATTAGTGTATTTGTAGCCTCTGGCCGCTGATAATATGCACTTGTGTTCAAATCTCAGTTCCTTGGATCCATCTTGTGGTAATATTGTTGAACCAGTTCTGCCCCTCAAACCATGTTCTGTTTCACACAGTTTGAGCAAATCACCAGTTCTAACGTGTGGGGTAGCTCAATCCATGTGTTCAAGAAAAAAAATATAAACTTACACCAAAAATAGTAAATAGTTTCACTGTTCACTCCTGGTTGGTGATTATGCTCTGGTGAGCATGTAGATTTGATGGGGATGGAAAGTTATATATTTTGGAGTCAATTACAATTAAGGAAAACCAAAATTGATATGATGTTTGTCTGTTTGGCTTTTATTTGACAATCTGAAAGTATCGTGTTTCATTTGCATAGTTGGACTTTAAAATAGGATTTCAAATGGTTAATTGTTTTATAAGTAATTAAGAATTATTTCACTGAAGGTCCAAATGGCAGTGGAAAGAGCTCCTTATTCAGGGTTTTAGGAGGTCTCTGGCCCTTGGTATCTGGACATATTGTGAAGCCCGGAGTAGGATCTGATCTTAATAAGGAAATATTTTATGTGCCACAAAGACCATATACTGCTGTAGGAACACTACGTGATCAATTAATTTACCCTCTTACTGCCGAACAAGAGGTTGAGCCACTTACAGAAGGCGGGATGGTGGAGCTATTGAAAAATGTGAAACTCATTTCTAGTCCTATTTCTTCTCAGTGCCATATTAATGTTGTGTACGTATTTATCATTTTAATCATTATTATTCATCTGAATTGCTTGTACATGTATTCAAGGTTGATCTTGAGTATCTATTGGAACGGTACCCGCCAGACAAAGAGGTAAACTGGGGTGATGAACTTTCATTGGGTGAGCAACAAAGATTAGGCATGGCTAGACTTTTCTACCATAAGCCTAAATTTGCCATTCTTGATGAGTGCACAAGTGCTGTCACAACTGATATGGAAGAACGGTTTTGTGCTAATGTTCTGGCTATGGGTACATCATGTATTACCATATCACATCGTCCAGCGTTAGTTGCATTCCATGATGTGGTTTTGTCCTTAGATGGCGAGGGAGGCTGGAGTGTGCATCGTAAAAGGTTGGAACTTTACCATGCTGCTTATTAATGTTTTCCTTTGACACTGTTATTAAATTTAAGATTGAAATTACAACTGCAGTGAGGACTCTTCTACTGAATTACAAAATGATACAATAAAGGCGTTGGAGACAAAAAGGCAGAGTGATGCCAAGACAGTTCAACGAGCATTTGCCATGAATAAAAAGGTTTAGTTTGTTTCTGATATTTTTTTTTTTTTTTTTTTTTTTTTTGTATCTTCAGGGTTCATTATCTTATATTGATAATGAAGAAATTTCTATCTTTTTTTCTTTTTTATATTAGGATTCTGCATTCTCGAATTCAAAGGCACAATCATATATTACAGAAGTCATAGCATCATCTCCATCCATGAAACATACTACTTCATGTGCTGTTCCCCAACTTTGTGGTAATACAAGGGCATTGCCTACGAGAGTAGCTGCCATGTGCAAAGTATTGGTAAGTATCTTAAGTAGATATGCTCTTGTACGAATTTTACTTTTATATTTCTTTTGTAAGTGCACATTTTTTGCATCATATTGAGTTGTTCATTGATGTATATGCTTTTCAGTATGTCAGTTCTGAAAATCTTAGGTGTTGGTATTATTCTGCTAATTATAAATTTATTAGTCTAAATATTTCTGCTTATATCTTTTCAGTCAATTTTATGTCCTCAAGTTCTAAATCCCTGCAATCTGCAGTTCTAATGTGCTGCTGATTTCTAGCGACATTGTTATTTAGGTTGGCTTACTTGCAGTTTTGATTTTAGATTTCTGTTTGTTGCAAAATGGATGCAATTACAATTCTTTCGACTATATGACTTGGCTAGTGAAGTTATGCAAAATCAGGATGCCTAATCAACCAACACATTTTTTAGGCAAATCTTACGCTTGATTAACAATGGTAATAAGGTTTAATGAATCTGAGGTTATCTTAAGATCAGGGTGACTTGCTAAAGTTGAATGATCTTTAAGGTTCAGGACTATAATGGTGGAGACAGCTGGAGGTTTTTGATTTGGAAGATTTAACTATTGGGCTTTGATACAAAGTAGTAGAATTATTTAATTTCTGGATAACAGAACACATCTAGGCAAATTGTTGTTAACAAATAGCTTCAACACCGAAAAAGGGGGATTATAAAGTTTCCAATTCACAGATAGATAGCAACTTTATTCTATTAATTGTATAGGGGCCAAAATATCTCAGACAACCTGACATAGTATAGAAGAGTTTTTTCTCAAAGATGGACTCTTCCAAAAGCCTTGTGAGCTGTTTGATGGAGGTCCATAACAGTTTCAAAACTTAACTTACCAACCATGTGTGAGCCCAATGTGGTTGGGCTTTTTTTTCAACACTATTACTAACCTATTTATCATATAAATGAAAGTATAAGGTTTGGCCATTGCAATGTCTTTTAAATATTTTATGGCTTCTCATGTCATTCTTCATCAAACTTCATGTGCTTATACATCTCAACAAAATGGGTGGCTGAGCGCAAGAATAGATATCTTGTTGAAACAACTCGTACTCTTTTAATTCATAGTGAGGTTCCTAAATATTTTTGGGGTGATGTTGTTCTTACTGCATGTTATCTTATCAATCGCATACCATTTTCGGTTCTAGATAATAAAATTTCTCATTCTCTTTTATTTCCTCATGAACCATTTGTTGAATTATTGGCAAGCGTACCAAAATTATCAATCGCAGTATAGTATTTCGATAAAATAAAAGTCGATCCCACGAGGAACAGTTTCAATGGAAATTCCCAATTATGCTTACTAAGTATATTAAACAGATTGGGTTTTGCAAATAAGAGTTGAGTTGAATTTAAATGACAAAGAACTGTAAATTGTTGAGAAAATATCAATTAAAGGTACTTAGGATTGACTTCCTTCCTTATCCCTCTTTTGTAATGACTATGTCAATTAAGAACGTCAATTAACCTAACAATATTGATGTCACCTACTCAAATCATCCATGTTGATTCCTCACACATGAAATTCATAAGAAAATCTAATAAATGTTGATTCCTCACACAATTAAAAAAATTTCCAGCATTAGGGTTAGGGTGTTTAAGCAATTGATACATTCATTCCATTCCTGACAATTAACGTAACAAATATTCTTACCGTGATCTAGGGTTCAAGATATATTTTCCAATCATACCTCAAACAATCAAGAATAAATCATTTCAAAGCATAAAGGATAAAAATAACAACATCAAAGCATAGATTAATATATCAAAATATTACCATGATACAAAAGAGTTCAAAGGAAGTGCACCGAATCCTAAGAGAATGAAGTCAGCCACTCATGTTGGCCATTACAATGCTCTAATTGATGAAGAAGTGAAGAATTGATGAAGATTGGACAAAACTCTAACAATAGTCGTGCCTCCTCTTCTCCAAGACTGTTTCTTTCTCAAAACACAACTTATCTTTTTATAAGAGAATTTGGGCCGGACCTCACATCATTCATTCGCTTAAGCGCTCTTTTTTCTTTCAATTTTATTCTAATTATGCTGACAATTATGCTCCTTATTCTTGTATCAAGGTATTCTCGAATTCATCCTATATTGGGAGAAAAATATATTAGAATTAACATAAGTTAAGTGGTTTCATAACAATTCAAGGCATAATTATATCAACTTTTTACCACTTAACACCTTTACATTCTTTATCTCTTAAAGTTATTGGGTCTATATGTTTTGTTCATAACTTTAGTCCTGATCTTGATAAATTATCTCTTAAATCACACAAATGTGTTTTTTTAGAATTTACTCAATCACAAAAAGGATATAAGTGTTGTTCTCTTTTTGTTAACCGTTATTTTATTTCTACAGATGTCACCTTTAATGAGTATTCCTGTTACTTAAATATCCTTTTTTCTCGTGTGTCATCGTCTGCTACTGTCAATATTCCTGTTATGTGTGATTTTTCTGTCAGTCCCCCTTCGAATCCTCCTCCGCCACCACCACTTCAGGTTTATATTCAAAGACAACGATCCCAACAACCACCAAATGGCTCACATCTAGTTCCAACTCCTTTGTCTTCTTCGACTCCGACAACTAAGTTTGACCTTCCAATTGTCATCCATAAAGATATACGTTTTACTCGTAATCTATCTCCTCATTATACTGCTTTGAGTTACTATAGATTATCTCCACCTTTACCTGCCTTTCATTCATTTCTTCTTTGTCAATTCTCAAATCCGATGGTGATGCCATAGCCTATCTTGGTTGGCGTCAGGCCATGCTTGATGAAATGAGTTCTCTTCAGAATAGTGGAACTTGGAAACTCGTCCCATTACTGTTTGGAAAATCTGGTATTGGTTACAGGTCGGTTTTTGCTATCAAAGTTGGTCTTGATGGTACCATTGATTGTCTCAAAGCTCGTCTTGTGGCCAAAGGGTACACACAAATTTTTTATTTGAACTATGGTGACATCTTTTCTCCAGTGGCATGACTGGGTAGGATCTCCTTCTGATAGAAGATCTACTTCCGGGTACTGTGTTTCTATTAGAGGTAACTTGATCTCTTGGAAGAGCAAGAAACAAAATGTTGTAGCAAGATCTAGTGCAGAAGCAAAATATAAAATTATGGCCTCAGCGTGAATTTGTTTGACTTAAATAATTACTTAAAGAATTACAATTTAGAGATATCACTCAAATGACACTTATATGTGACAATCAGGTTGCTCTTAATATTAGCTTTAATCCTGTCTTTCATGAAAGGATCAAGCACATTGAAGTTGACTCGACATTTTATTCGAGAAAAGATTGTATCTGGAGACATTAAAATCGTGTTTGTTAATTCAAGTGAACAGTTAGCAAATATTTTCACCAAGTCTTTATGGGGACCTATAATTAATTATATTTATAACAAACTTGGTACATATGATTTATATGGATCAGCTTGAGGGGAGTGTTAGATATTTTAGATATTCTAGATATCATTAGTCAAAATATATGCATTTACCATATTTACTGGTATGATTCTTAATTATAAATATATTATCCTATATGTATTTTAAGACACAAGGAATTAACCCTATTTGAGAAACTTATTTAGGGCTTCCAATATAGTGTCAAAAGGCACTGTTACATTGTATTTATAGATAAAAAAGATACAATAGAGAGGATATGGGCCTTAGCCCAAACCCTTAACTCTAGTCTAAGGAAAGATAGAAAAACATCATATCTCAACACTCCTCAAGTTGGAGCATATAGATTGTATGCACCAAGCTTGGAACAAATAAACTAAATCCTAAGACCTCTCAAGGATTTAGTTAAAATGTCCGTCAGTTGCTCATTGAAACTTACAAATTCAGTTATAAGTTCCTTAGACATTAACTTTTCTCTAACAAAGTGATAATTAATCTCGATATGTTTTGTTCTTTCATGAAAGACTGGGTTGGAGGCAATATGGAGAGTTGTCTGGTTATCACAAAACAACTTCATCTGGCCATCATCACAGAGTTTTAATTCTTGAATGATTTGTTTGATCCACACAAGTTCACATGTAGCAAGTGTCATAGATCTATACTCAACTTCTGCACTAGATCGAGCAACAACACTTTGCTTTTTACTCTTCTAAGAAATCAAATTTCTTCCAATAAAGATACAATACTCAGTAATAGATCTTCTATCAATGGGACAACCAACCCAATCTGCATCACAATAACCTAGAATTTGAGTATTACCCTTATCTTCATATAACAATCCTTGTCCTAAGGCCCCTTTAATATATCTCAGAATGCGAATCAAGGCGTCCCAATGATCAGTACAAGGATTTTGCATAAATTGGCTAACTACTCCACCTGCATAAGAAAGATCAGGTCGAGTAATAGTAAGATAAATAAGTTTACCAACCAACCTCCTGTATCTTTCTGGATTTGACAACTTTTCTCCTTTATCTCCCATCAATTTCTGATTAGGGTCCATTGGGGTATCAATGAATTTACAATTTGTTAAACCTGTCTCCTTCAAAATATCAAGGATATACTTCCTCTGAGAGATGATCACACCTTCCTTTGACTAAGTCACTTCAATACCAAGGAAATACTTCAATTGACCAAGGTCTTTGGTTTGGAAGTGAGCAAATAGATGATTCTTCAATTGATTGATCTTAGTATAATCATTACCTGTAATAACAATATCATTAACATAAATCATAAGATATACACACTTGCCTGAAGAGGAATGACAATAAAACACGGAGTGATCTGCTTCACTACTTTTCAAGCCAAAAAACTGTATAATATGACTGAATTTCCCAAACCAAGCTCGAGGTGATTGCTTCAAACCATAAAAAGATCGGTGTAGCTTACACACTAAACCAGACTCCCCTTAAGCAACAAAGCCAGGAGTTGCTCCATATAAATCTTTTCCTCAAGGTCACCATGAAGAAAGACATTTTTAATGTCCAGTTGGTGAAGGGGTCAATGACGAATCTTAGCCATAGCAAGGAAAAGATGAATAGTAGAAATCTTAGCTACTGGAAGGTATCACAGTAGTCGAGACCATAAATTTGAGTGTATTCTTTAGCTATTAAACGAGCTTTAAGACAATCCATTTTACCATTATTATCAATTTTAACTGCATAGACCCACCTACAACCTACAATATTTTTGCTAGGAGAAAAAGGGACAAACTCCCAAGTGCCATTGTGTTCAAGAGTCTGCATTTCATCAATTATGGTTTGTCGTCATCCATGATGATCAAGAGCCTCATGGACAATATTAGGAATAATGGTGTCAGCCAAAGAGACAACAAAAGAGGAATAGAAAGGAGACAAATGATGGTAACTTAAAAAGTTATAAATAGGAAAGAAATTCCGAGAGGAACGAATACTTTTTCTGAGTGCAATAGGCAATCCAGATTCAGAAGTGGGAGAGGAGGTCAAAGGATCCATGGTATGAGAATTTGATGGAGAAGGTTTTAAATTACAATTATCTGCAAAATCTGGTAAAGGTGTAGGTGGATCACATGAGGGTATAAGAAGAGGAGGAGAATCATTAAGACCTGTAGGTTGAATTGGTGAAGGATCAGGTATTATAAATGGATCACATGAGGGTATAGGAAGAACATTTAGAATAGAGGAATCATCCTCCTTTCTATTTTTTCTTTTTGCAATACCATTTTGCTGTGGAGTGAGGACAAGTTGACTGATATAAAATGCCTTGGGAAGATAAAAAAGAAGAGAAGGTGGCTGAAAAATATTCTTTGGCATTATCACTGCTAAGAACTTTAATTATCTTCCCAAATTAATTTTAATTTCATTGAAGGATACAAAAATGGACAAAATTTCAAATTTGTCTTTCATTCAATAAACCTAAGTACATCTGGAAAATTCATCAATAAAGGTTACAAAATATTGAAAGCCAAATGAAGAGACACGACTCGGTCTACAAATATCAAAATGAATATTTGAGAAAGGAAAATTACATGGAGTTTTAGAGTGTTTAGAAAAGGTAGACCTAACATGTTTTCCTGATTAACAAGATTCACATTTTAAACCACGAAGATGATTGAGATTAGGAGCCATTACTTTCAACTTTGGTAAACTTGGGTAACCCAGACGATCATGCAAAAGTTTAGGAGAAGGAGAAGGAGAAGCAAGACATGACACTCGAAGGATTTGAATTTAGATAATACAGACTACGTGATTCATGACCTTCTCCAATTAGACGACCCGTACCATGTTCCTGAATAACAAAAAAATTGGAATTAAAGGTTACAGAACAATTCAGAGAACGAGTCAATTGACTTAGAGAAATCAAGTTATAAGGGAAATTAGGAATTAAAATAATAAAATTTAAATTCAAAAAAGGGGTTAAAGGAACATGGCCAATTCCTTGTGATTTTACTTTAGATCCATTAGTCACAGTAATCAGGTGAGGAATTTTAGGATAGGACATAGAGGAAACTGAGGAACTGTTACCAGATATATGATCAAAGACACCTGAATCAAGAATCCATAGGTTTTTGACCTTCCACAGATTGAGAAATGCATGTTGTTGAAACACTAGGCATGAAAGAAGATTTACCTTGATTGTTTAATTTTCCTGATTTGAACTTCAAAAACTTTTGATACTCTTCATAAAATTTAAATCCGGTTTTTCAGACTTAGAAACATGGGAAGTGATATTCTTGGCAGGAAAACCGTGTATGAAATAACAATTTTCTTGCTTGTGCCCCATATTTTTGCAATAGGAACATTGAGGACGGCCTTTTATAGTAGCAGAAAAAAGAAAAAGCATTAGATGAAGCCATTTATCTGAAACAGAGATGAAAGATAACCTAACCAATAGGGTACCCACGTGACCTAGCTTCCAAAGTTATCAAAACAGAAAAATAAGGGCACCACAGGACTCAGAGGGCGACGACAAGTCGAATGAAGGTGATCGACCTTGATTCTGGCCACTGGAAGGCAGCATGTGGGGCAGCTACGGAGGAGCAACTTGCAGGGGTGAGTTGCGCTCTTCCAGGAGCACCGAACCCTACCTTCACTGGACCAACTGACACGGTGGCCGGCGACAAACGACGGCTGGAGATGACAGGAATGACAGGAAATCACTGCGGGATCGTACCCGCTCTGATACCAACTTGAGAAACTTATTTAGGGTTTCCAATAGAGTGTCAAAAGGTACTGTTACATTGTATTTATAGATAAAAAAGATACAATAAAGAGGATATGAGTCTCAGCTCAAACCTTTAACCCTAGTCTAAGGAAAGATAGAAAAACATCATATCTCAACAATCCTATACTTAGTTTTCACTATATTCAACAGTCTTGTTCAAACTTGTGATACATTGTTAGCTGTAATTCTCTTTTCCCTGCCTAAACCCTGAAGCAGATGAATGGCACCATGAAGTGTATGTTTGTGTATATCTGACAGATCTATCTATTGTCGATTGGAAACTAGAACCTAGAACCTGAGATTTGAAAGAACGGCTACTTCATTATAATATTGCTGTTGAAATCGGTATATTTTTTGCTAACTGTATTGAGAATTATCCAACAATTGTTTATCGATGATAGAAGGATATGAACTTTCAACTTATGATAGTAACATATTGAATTATGGTCATTTGTGTGCTATCGTGTTGATGACTTACCATGAAAAAGATGTTGGCTAGTACATCAGAGATGTATTTCAGTGATTCTTAACAAATGAAACTAGACAGTAATTTGTGTGTGCACTATCTGCATGATGACTTACTATTACCAAACATCCTTCTAAAAGGATGTGTTTTGTGTATTAGTTAACTATAGGTACATTTTTCTTATGTTTATTGCATGCTTTAGGTGCCCACCATATTTGATAAACAAGGAGCACGACTACTTGCTGTTGCTTTTCTTGTTGTTTCAAGGACATGGGTCTCAGATCGTATTGCATCACTGAATGGTATTTTTCTATCTCTGACTTTTCATTTTTAAGAGATCAAATAAATAATGTTCCTGGGTATTTATGTTCTCAGGTACTACTGTGAAGCTTGTTTTAGAGCAGGATAAAGTTTCCTTTATTCGTTTAATTGGGATAAGTGTTCTTCAAAGTGCTGCATCTTCTTTCATTGCACCTTCTATAAGGTAATTTAGCATTCACATTAAATGAAACATATTTGCTAAAATCCATCCGTAGTAGGACGTCTAAATTGTTCATTCCGTGCATTAATAGGTTCCTTTATCTCAATACTTGTTGACATATTACTATTTACCATTGATTTCTATATTATGTTATTCATATGTTATTAGTAGCAATTAAAATATGAAAATATCATATAGTTTTGTTGATAGTTCATATCAATGAAATGGGGAAAAGTTTGAATTAGGTTTACCTAACCAGAATTTTTCACAAAGTAAATTTAATATATTGTGTCTTATTCTACAGACACTTGACTGCAAGGCTTGCCCTTGGGGGCCGGATTCGTTTGACACAACATCTGCTCAAGAACTACTTAAGAAACAATGGATTTTACAAGGTAAAATTCATTCATTCCTCAGCTTCGCTTTTTTTATTTGAAGACTATAAGCTTGTCTTTTGTGTCTATATCTAGTTTGAATAATTAGTAATTTCCAATAAATCACAATAACAGATTGTTTTATTGTTATATCAGGAACTTTTTATTGAATTAATTTTGTATGTCAAGTCTTATATGGCTATCATTACATTCTGCTATTTGCCCTTCAAATTTAAGTTAATTTTCAATTTTGTTGCTTGACCTCTTCATAGTTCCACAGTGTCTTCATCAGTTCAGTTAATAACAACATTTAGCTTCTCATACAGACACAGGAATTGACACTCCCAAGAGATGATATCCCAGGAATCTTACTGATAGTGCCACATACCATATTGCTCTGTGTCATTAGTTTGAGAATGTAGACTGGGTTTAAATTTCACTAACAAAAAATATGATGTGTTGTTATCAATTTTTTATGATTAATAAATATATTATTCACCTTGCTTTTAAGCTATTTTAACAGATGCCTGATTGCTAGGGCTTGGTTCCATATTCACATTACTTGGCATATCTTTGTAGGTCTTCCACATGGCAAGCAAAAATATTGATGCTGATCAGAGGATAACTCATGACTTGGAGAAGTTAACAACAGACCTGTCAGGACTGGTCACTGGAATGGTAAAGCCATCTGTGGATATTTTGTGGTGAGTACTTCATTTGCACAATAGAGTTACTATATTACTACAGTGTATTTTACTAGTACATGGTAAATTAACATATTTTACGGGTGCTCTTTTTTTTTATTTTTTTATTTACTTACTGAATACTTTTGTTATTCTAAAGGTTCACTTGGAGGATGAAGCTGTTAACAGGTCGGAGGGGAGTTGCCATACTCTATGCTTACATGTTACTTGGTCTGGGATTTCTAAGAACTGTTACTCCAGATTTTGGTGATTTGATAAGTCAAGAACAACAACTTGAAGGAACATTTAGGTAAAGTATACTACTGTCTGCTAACAGTCCAGGTAGTGGTCAACTACTGCTATGGAATTATTCTGATCTGGTTCTCTTTATCGTTTTCTAGGTTCATGCATGAAAGACTCTGTACTCATGCTGAATCTGTTGCTTTCTTTGGAGGTGGTGCTCGAGAAAAAGCTGTAAGCATCCTAACTCATTATTGAATGTATTTTCTTAAAGTGTGTGCATGTTTGAGGACATGAAAACGTTGGAATGAAACTCAATGCCTATCACAATAAAAATGTGGGAGAAAACTAGAGTGCCAATTCACCATCCAAAATTTACACATTTCTATTCTTTGAAAGTCACTTCAAAGTATTTTACCCTTTACAAAACAATAAAAGGCAGTTGATTTATCACTATGAGTGAAGTGGTTGTTTGTGCAACTATAACCTTGACTACCTGGTCATAAAGCAGCAACCATACCATTATGATGGGGCTCACCATAACCCTTTACCAAGCCATAAAGAGTAATAAAAGTCAAAGCCTGCATCCTACCATCTTCAGTCTTCTCAACTCCACTTACTCATTGGCCACCTCCTTGATTAAGCTGCACCCTAAATCCTATACATGTTTGTGTTTTTGATCAATTTTCACTTGATTTTTAGGCTCTAATACAAGGAAGTGTGAATTGGGTTTAAGTTTGGCAGGAAGAGATCAGCAAATTTATTTTTCTTAAGCTCGTTTTTATGTTATGATAATGTCTGGATGACATCAATTTTAATCACTGGAGATGATTAAAACCAAGGTTATTGTCAATCTGTAAATTATACTTTCTTAATGTTTGAGCAGATGGTCGAGTCTAGATTCAATGAGCTTCTCACTCACTCCAAGTACCTTTTAAAAAGGAAGTGGCTGTTTGGTATCCTGGATGATTTTATCACAAAGCAGCTTCCACATAACGTGACTTGGGGCTTGAGCTTGTTATATGCTATGGAACACAAGGGAGATCGTGCATCAATAACTACCCAGGGTAAGATATTTGCATTCAGTCGTTTACTCTCTTCATAGTTGTTGCTCTCCCATCTCACAGACAGTACTATACTAATAGGTGAGCTAGCACATGCACTGAGGTTTTTGGCATCTGTTGTTTCTCAAAGCTTTTTAGCTTTTGGTGATATTCTTGAATTGCATAGAAAGTTTGTAGAGCTCTCTGGTGGAATTAACCGGATTTTTGAACTTGAAGAACTTCTGGATGCAGCACAATCTGGTATTAATTATCCTTTAGTTTTTCAGTCAATCATATGATTTATTATCTTGGTGTTTCTATAGCTGTACCATACTCACTCTAATAGTCGTCATGTGTGCTAATGACTTGTACCGTACAGAGGATTTCATGAATGTTAGTTCTATACCTCCAGTGAGAGACGTTAATTCCACTGAAGTCATTTCCTTCTCAAAAGTTGATATCATAACCCCTGCTCAAAAAATGTTGGCTAGGGAGTTAATATGTGACATTGAGCGAGGGGCAAGCCTACTTGTTACTGGTTGGTATAGTTTTTATTTTCATTTGTTTTATCCCTTTTGAAGAGGGAATTTTAATTTGATTTAAATTTTGGTCTTACATGTATCTTATTTTAAAAGGTCCAAATGGAAGTGGAAAAAGTTCTATTTTCAGAGTTCTTAGAGGACTCTGGCCAATAGCCAGTGGAAGACTCTCTAAACCATCTGAAGTTGTGGATCAAGATGCTGGATCCGGTTGTGGCATCTTTTATGTTCCTCAACGACCGTATACATGTTTGGGAACCCTAAGGGATCAAATTATATACCCCCTTTCCCGTGAGGAAGCAGAGGTTAAAGCACTGAAAATGTATGGAAAAGGTAAATAAGGCAGCCCTTAAAAATGCCAGAGTAGAAGTGAAGTTTCTGAATATACATTAGCAAGTGGGAAGTTGGTAGATCTGCTTTGATTCTCTAGTCATCAATAATTTTGGGCTAGCATGGTTGAAGTATCTAGTTTGAAGTATAGAAAGTGTAGTACTCTCTATGTTAACATACAAATGAGATCTCCCCTATTAAGGTTGTGGTCCTCAACCAAGGGTTTATCTTATACAATAGGATAATTTTTGAACTCGACTACTTACTCCTTTTAGTTTGAATCAACTAAAGTTTATAACAATGCAACTGCGTTACTTTTCATTAATCATAGTCACTAGCTAGAATAAGTTCTAAGGTTGTGGCAATGCAATAGAATGATGGTCATACTGATATTGTTAAAAATTTCTCCTTTGCTTACTGTGATGTTATATTACATGGCGATCACATGATTGAAAGTCTTGGTCATGGAATCGAGCACGGTGTCAATCATAACCCGCTACCCAAGACCAGAGCCCATGTTCACCAATTGACTGCAAATCAAGCTAGTAACTATGAACCTACCAAATAGTGGAGGGGCCCCAACTAACAACTTAATAAAACTGTCAACTCAAAACATGGGGAGTTACAGGAAACATTATTAAATACAAATCTATTCCCTTATGACGAAGTAACAGATATTAAGTACTCTAGCGAAGGTCTAGATGTCTTATCCAAGGCCTTTTTCTAGAACACTTACATTTAATTTGGGGGAAATTACTCTCGTATGTTTCCTTTAACAGATAAATAACAATTTCTTGTTCTCTGCTCTAACTCTTTTAAATAGTCCATTTGATCAATAACAATATTCACTTTCTTTGTTATGGCTTTTCATTTTAGTTCTGATAATTGTAATTTTGCTAATTCAGGTGAAAAGCATGCTGACACCAGAAATTTGTTAGATTCACGGTTAAAATTTATCCTAGAGTGTGTACGATTGAATTATCTTCTAGAAAGGGAGGAAGGCAACTGGGATGCCACTTTAAAATGGGAAGACATTCTTTCTCTAGGAGAACAACAAAGATTGGGGATGGTATGTGACTCCAATCCCTTGTAATTTTAGACAGGATTTTTTAAATATTTGTGTATCATACAGACGTTATTTAAAGACTTAAATTCCTTGAAGGAAAACATTTATTATAATTTACCATGTTCTCTTTTTGACTTTTTAACGTTGCGCATTCTGTTTTGTAAGGCACGCTTGTTCTTTCACAGTCCCAAGTTTGGAATCCTTGACGAGTGCACCAAGTATGTATGCTTTGCCTTCACCTCTTTCCTTTTCCGGGAAATTGCTGCTTCTTATTCATTGTTTATCTTGTTTCATATTCTAAAAAACATCATGTTGGCAGTGCAACTAGTGTTGATGTCGAAGAACACCTATATGGGCTTGCGAAAGATATGGGAATCACAGTTGTTACTTCCTCACAAGTAAGTTGTTTATACAGATATAGTTGAAAAAAGAAAAATAAAACTCATGTGGTAAATTCACTAAGGTGTTTTGAACTTGCCTTATTTCCTTCCCAGTGCCCACCTATTTGATTTCTTTAGTTATAGATAAACCATATTAACATGCTTTAAACTAAATATCTCTTTTCTGCCCCCAGCGTCCTGCTTTAATACCATTCCATTCAGTGGAATTGCGGCTGATTGATGGTGAAGGTAATTGGGAGCTTCGATTGATCAAGCAGTGAGTTCACCATACCAGTGTTGCTGCATGGACTCGGTACTATTTAAGATACTGTCGAGTCTAGCAAAAGCTGGCTGTTTGCAAGCATTCTAGATTTGCCAACAAGTGTCAATCCTATGTACTTGTATTTTGAGTTTTCATATTCTCCAAGATTCAAGGTTTACCCAATAGACTTGGGGACGAACAAACAAGCAGCCGAAACAGCCAAAATTGTTAATAAGTTCGAGCACACAACCATTGCACGCTCTCTGCAGTGTATAGTGATCAATCATGTACAGTTTCCCCCCTCCCCCTCTTCATAGGTAGTTGATATTGGTTCATATGTTGTAGCCATTGGATGTAATGATTAATATTTAATTTGTTTTATCAATAAAACAGCGGGAAAGAAGAGAAGCTCTTCAAGCTAGTGTTACTTCATTGACTCCAATGCTGTTGTGTAAGTTTTTTTTTTTTTATGTACTTTATTCATAAGCCACCTGACATGCTTTCATCCCATCCATTGGTCTTGCCTTCGTGTACAGAAAGAGAGAAACTGCATGAATCTCACTTAAAATTTGAGGAGTTATAGCTAGTTGCTTGAGTTAACACGAAAAATCACGATGTACGTTAGCCATTGGATGGGAGAACTTGGCATATCTCCTGCTGTTGGAAATAGTTTTATAGCCATTCGATATCTTTATCTTTAATATTATGGCTTAGGTTAAATTTCATTTATTTTATTTCACTTTCCATGTTTATTATTCCTGTCTTCCTTGCCCAGCCAAAAATTTGTAAACTTCGCAAAAAACTGCATGCCACCATTGTGCACCGTTTTCGAGAAGATTTCCAACGAAAATAGTTTTTTTTCCCTCCTGACCTTTCCCCATTGCTACTCCCCTCCCTCGTTAATCAGTCCCAGCCTGCTGTGAACCACCTCGTTACCTTCCAACCGTGACATAACCCCCCTCTACCGCGAATCACTTCCACTTCGTGTGAGCTACCCTTGTAAACCTCATTGTTGAAACCCGTATCTCAAATCCACGAACCTCCCCGTGAATCATTATCAGAACTACCACTGTGAACCTCCTTACCTTTCATTTGATCAAACTACCACCACAAATCACCCCATGAACCTCACTGACGAAACACCCCACCACTTGTACCCAGTAAGCCAAGAAAACCATTCAGATAATAATGATATTATTATAATAGATGAGATAGTTAACTCAATTTTATAAAATCAATTTATAGACAGGATTGTATTCACCTCAATATTATTAATTACCCGAATTTTCTTAATATGTCCATTTTTTCATTATACTCGTATTGAAGATGATTTTTTATCACATCCCTTAAAAGAAATTTTATGACTGATTAAGTCTATTATTTTTGTCGATCAAGCATTTAACACTTGGGTGGTTACGTCCATTATTATTGTCCATTGCTCCGATCCGTCCTAAAATTAATAAGATACCGATAATAATAATAATAACAATAAAAGCATTTTGATGTCAAACAGGCAAGTGCGATATAACATGGGATTCTCTTGGCGGTGTGGAACCACGATTTGGAGTTGAAGTTGGATTCAGAGGCGTGAACGGAAAAGAAGGCCTACAATGGCAGTGATGGTGGGCAGCGTTGGGGCACTTGATTTTGGTCATGACAGCAAGGGTATCAGGCTAGAGTAGGGTTACAGATAAGGACTCCGCGGGAAGGTGAAGGAACACAGGGACAAATTGGGAAACATGGGAAGAAATAAGAATAAAGAAAAAAAAAAAAAAACTCAACCTTTGTTGGTACCACCTTTGTTGTTGCTGACTATGACCACTCCAATCTAAGTCCCTACTTCGAGTTCGGATTAGGTAGTTAACTCTTTTAAGTGTCATTGCGATTGAGCGTGTGTGTGTGTGCGCGCTCCTCCACCAATTGTCCGTAGAACACGATAGTGAGCCAAAAAGCCTTGGCAAAGGAAGGAGGTTGGTGATGGAGGAGATGTTTTCGCCAAGGAAGATGTTGATACAGTTGTTCTGATTTGGGTCAGAAACCGTAAAACAAAATTGAAGTCGTGAGATGAAAATGCACAAAACTTATTAACTTCGTCACGCCGTGAAGTTCCTCTGAAGGGAAAACCGTGAAAGTGATCGATTTCTTATTTTTCTACTGTTCTAGTTATATGATGTGACCATGAAGATATGTACGTTGTCTTAAAAAAAAAAAGATTAAATTTCAATGAGAAATCAGTTTTAATTTTTGGACCAGGGGCTAAGTGCTAAAGTGTGAACCCTTACTACTAGCTTAAGCTTTTAGCTAAGTGGCTAGCGCTTGGTGCCAAACTCTTGGTATCAGAGCGAGGCCGCGTGCTCGATTCCTGCCGAGGACGGAATTGGGGCAGCGTGTGGTAAGTCCCTCGAGATTCCCAAAGAGCGGGAGAATCGGAGTCGCGGAAGCGTGGTGGGACCAGGGGCTAAGTGCTAAAGTGTGAACCCTACTACTAGCTTAAGTTTTTAGCTAAGTGGCTAGCGCTTGGTGCCAAACTCTTGGTATCAGAGTGAGGCCGCGTGCTCGATTCCTGCCGAGGACGGAATTGGGGCAGCGTGTGGTAAGTCCCCTCGAGATTCCCGAAGAGCGGGGGAATCAGAGTCGCGGAAGCGTGGTGGGACCAGGGGCTAAGTGCTAAAGTGTGAACCCTTACTACTAGCTTAAGCTTTTAGCAAAGTGGCTAGCGCTTGGCGCCAAACTCTTGGTATCAGAGCGAGGCCGCGTGCTCGATTCCTGCCGAGGACGGAATTGGGGCAGCGTGTGGTAAGTCCCCTCGAGATTCCCGAAGAGCGGGGGAATCATAGTCGCGGAAGCGTGGTGGGACCAGGGGCTAAGTGCTAAAGTGTGAACCCTTACTACTAGCTTAAGCTTTTAGCAAAGTGGCTAGCGCTTGGCGCCAAACTCTTGGTGGACACGGGGCTAAGTGCTAAAGTGTGAACCCTTACTACTAGCTTAAGCTTTTAGCTAAGTGGCTAGCGCTTGGCGCCAAACTCTTGGTATCAGAGCGAGGCCGCGTGCTCGATTCCTGCCGAGGACGGAATTGGGGCAGCGTGTGGTAAGTCCCTCGAGATTCCGAAGAGCGGGGAATCGAGTCGCGGAAGCGTGGTGGGACCAGGGCTAAGTGCTAAAGTGTGAACCCTTACTACTAGCTTAAGCTTTTAGCAAAGTGGCTAGCGCTTGGCGCCAAAGCGCTAGCCACTTTGCTAAAAGCTTAAGCTAGTAGTAAGGGTTCACACTTTAGCACTTAGCCCCTGGTCCCACCACGCTTCCGCGACTCTGATTCCCCGCTCTTCGGAATCTCGAGGGACTTACCACACGCCGCCCAATTCCGTCCTCAGCAGGAATCGAGCACGCGCCTCGCTCCGATACCAAGAGTTTGGCGCCAAGCGCTAGCCACTTAGCTAAAAGCTTAAGCTAGTAGTAGGGTTCACACTTTAGCACTTAGCCCCGTGTCCACCAAGAGTTTGGCGCCAAGCGCTAGCCACTTTGCTAAAAGCTTAAGCTAGTAGTAGGGTTCACACTTTAGCACTTAGCCCCGGTCCCACCACGCTTCCGCGACTATGATTCCCCGCTCTTCGGAATCTCGAGGGGACTTACCACACGCCGCCCAATTCCGTCCTCAGAGAATCGAGCACGCGGCCTCGCTCTGATACCAAGAGTTTGGCGCCAAGCGCTAGCCACTTAGCTAAAAGCTTAAGCTAGTAGTAAGGGTTCACACTTTAGCACTTAGCCCCTGGTCCTAGAGTTTGGCGCCAAGCGCTAGCCACTTAGCTAAAAACTTAAGCTAGTAGTAAGGGTTCACACTTTAGCACTTAGCCCCTGGTCCCACCACGCTTCGCGACTCCGATTCCCCGCTCTTCGGGAATCTCGAGGGACTTACCACACGCCGCCCAATTCCGTCCTCGGCAGGAATCGAGCACGCGGCTTCGCTCTGATACCAAGAGTTTGGCGCCAAGCGCTAGCCACTTAGCTAAAAGCTTAAGCTAGTAGTAAGGGTTCACACTTTAGCACTTAGCCCCTGGTCCTAGAGTTTGGCGCCAAGCGCTAGCCACTTAGCTAAAAGCTTAAGCTAGTAGTAAGGGTTCACACTTTAGCACTTAGCCCCTGGTCCCACCACGCTTCCGCGACTTTGATTCCCCCGCTCTTCGGGAATCTCGAGGGGACTTACCACACGCTGCCCCAATTCCGTCCTCGGCAGGAATCGAGCACGCGGCCTCGCTCTGATACCAAGAGTTTGGCACCAAGCGCTAGCCACTTAGCTAAAAGCTTAAGCTAGTAGTAAGGGTTCACACTTTAGCACTTAGCCCCTGGTCCCACCACGCTTCCGCGACTCTGATTCCCCCGCTCTTCGGGAATCTCGAGGGGACTTACCACACGCTGCCCCAATTCCGTCCTCGGCAGGAATCGAGCACGCGGCCTCGCTCTGATACCAAGAGTTTGGCACCAAGCGCTAGCCACTTAGCTAAAAGCTTAAGCTAGTAGTAAGGGTTCACACTTTAGCACTTAGCCCCTGGTCCAAGAGTTTGGCGCCAAGCGCTAGCCACTTAGCTAAAAGCTTAAGCTAGTAGTAAGGGTTCACACTTTAGCACTTAGCCCCTGGTCCCACCACGCTTCCGCGACTCTGATTCCCCCGCTCTTCGGGAATCTCGAGGGGACTTACCACACGCTGCCCCAATTCCGTCCTCGGCAGGAATCGAGCACGCGGCCTCGCTCTGATACCAAGAGTTTGGCGCCAAGCGCTAGCCAGCTTAAGCTAAGCACTTAGCCCCTGTTCCTAGAGTTTGGCGCCAAGCGCTAGCCACTTAGCTAAAAGCTTAAGCTAGTAGTAAGGGTTCACACTTTAGCACTTAGCCCCTGGTCCCACCACGCTTCCGCGACTCTGATTCCCCCGCTCTTCGGGAATCTCGAGGGGACTTACCACACGCTGCCCCAATTCCGTCCTCGGCAGGAATCGAGCACGCGGCCTCGCTCTGATACCAAGAGTTT